AAGTTTGATTTGCTGTAAATATTTAAAAAGACTCTTAGACTGAACTTTGAAAAGCCTCTCTAGGGTAGAAAAGCAAGTCATGAACTCACCACACGATATTGCCTATAGTTTCTAAAGATTTAGATAAATTCTCATTTTGAGGCCCCTGAGTATGCTATTTCTTGGGCTTGCTAGGAAACAAGCTTCGTTATTCACCTGGGAGTGTGGGGAACTTAGAAGGTCTTGCTAATACCATTGATAAGGAAGTGTCATATATGCATATATACCTACATGCACATAGACATGCAAAAAGATAAAAAGATCTTGTGGTTTTAACTCAAATGTTTTGAGGTGAGTATCAACAAAAAATAATAAAGTCACTTTCCCATTTTAAACACATGCTGGCTCTGATCCTTGTTCCGTGGAGCCAGACCCCGTGAAGAAGGTGGATGCAGGCACCACGTCATGTGTTCATGAACCTGCCTTTCTTTTCCACTGGGTGGCACTTTCAGCGGCATTCACCATATTTTTGATCATGCCTCATAAAGACACTCATGAAAGAGGACTTCCAGAGATGCTTCCAAAACTGGCACATGTCTGACGTGAGAGGCAGCATTGTGAGGCAAATGCGTGGCCACGGGTCTTCTACTGTAAAGATTTAAGCACACACCATACATTTTGATCAGCCCTTGTGTAAATTTTAGATGAGTAAAAGTAAGTATTTTACCCTACTTGTAAATGATTTAGAGCCAGGCGTGGTGGCTCATGCCTGTAATCCTAGCACTTGGGAGGCTGAGGCAGGAAGATTGTTGCCAGTTCAAGGCCAGCCTGGGCTACAAAGTGAGTTCAAGACCTGTCTCAACTGCATAGTGAGACCCTGTCTCAAAAAGACAAACAAACAAAAAGGGATTTAGGTATGAATGAATATTTGTTAATTTAGCATTTAAACGTATGGCCCGAGTCCCCTGTCCTGGCAGAGGACACTTCAGGTTTCCCCTGGCCTCAGGTACATCCTCACGGATACTGCTGACCACATGTGGGGAGAGCGCCCCAGAGGCACTATGCAGACCTCTGGGGGGCTTGGGTGCCCATCTAAGCGGGTACCACACCCATTGTCTCTGGTCAGCTTCAGCTTCTGCTGATGGTTTTTGGGTTCCTTCACCCCTGACGAGCCCTCAGTGGGTCAGGAAGCTGCAAGCTCTGGTGGCTGTTGCTATCAGGGGCAGAGTTGGGAGGGAAAGGGCTCATAGCTGAGAGCCAAAGGATATGTCATGCAGTCTGCTTTGTGTTTGCCTTTACCACTTTTATTAAAACATTCCAGAAAACTGTTTCCTTTTTTTATCCCACATGAAGCAAAAAAAAAAAAAAAATCTGTTCTGCTACCAGAGATCCACAATTTATTCTTTTTAAAATGTGGTTCTTTTTTTTTTAAACAAAGGAGGAAAAATAGAAGTAAAAAAAAAGAAGTAAAAATAAAAGTTTCCAATCAGTTTTCAATTTTTTTATCAGTCTATGTTCGCAGTACATACTGATTACATTCATCGTGGGGAGTTTGGACATGTACATAGCACATCTGAATTCTTTTTTTTTTTTTTTGTCCACTTCACCTCCCATCCTTCTCTGTTCAACTCTTGTTCCCCTTCCCAGTAAATTGGAAATGCATTTCAAGGCCATAATGTTAAGTGAAATAAATCAGACATACAAGCTTAAAGCCAAGTGTAGTGGCACACGCCTGCCTGCAATCCCAGAATTTGGGAGGCTGAGGCAGGAGGATCACTGCGAGTCTGAGGTTAGCCTGGACTACATGGCAAGACCCTGTCTCAAAAAAACAAAACAAAACAAAGTAAACAAGAACAACAAACATCTGGGCATGGTGGGGTATGCGTGTAATCTCAGCACTCAGGAGGCTGAGGCAGTAAGACTGTGGTGAGTTCTAGGCCAGCCTGAAGTGCATAGTGAGACCCTGCCTCAAAAAGACTGAAAAAGAAAAACAAAAAAGAAAAAGAAAAAGAAAAGCTTAAATATCGCATTTCTTTTCTTATATGAGAAATTCAAAGTATACATAAAGGACTAAATAAAAGATCATAGAAAGTAAGGGGGACAGGTCATTTGCAAATGGGGAGTAGGCGAAGAGATGGTGGGGGGAAGGAAAGGGATTTAAAATAAAAAGCAAGGATTGAGAAAAAATAGAAATCTACAGTTTCTGGCCTGAAACTCAACCCCAGGCTTCAGAGCTTTTTCTTTTACACAAGGTGTGGGCAGGTTTTGGGGCGAAAGCCCCAAGTTTCACAACCTCGAGTGCATCGCCGTCTCTGTGGTGGCTTTTTGGAGATTTGCGGGCCGCGCCTGTGCCCCACCTACGGCATTTCCCAGAGCGGTTCTTTGGGCCTCTTGGGTACCTGGCAATCTCTCCTCCGGGGGAAATGTGGCTTTTGGAAAGGGCAGTAGCAGGTAAGTTAGCAGGTGGACAATAATTGTTTATGAAATCAAGAGAATCTTTAGCAAATCGGATCTGCTCATAGTTCGTCATCTGGGAACCCTGAACATTTTCATACCCTTCTGAAAGGCGCGAAGCAATTTTCTGGGTTTTGTTTTTCATTTTTATGCTGACCTCCCCTAGTGGAACATAGCCTAATAGCCAATAGGGCACGCAGGTGTGATGGCACATGTCTGTAATCTCAGCACTACGGACAGCTCAAGCCACACTTGGAGTCTAACAGCCTAGGCAATTTAGCGACTTACTTACGGAGAGGAGACCCCATTTCTAAACAAACAAATAAATAAATGAGTGCATGCGCACAGGGCCGGGGGAACATGGAAAGTCCTGGGTTCGATTCCCCGTACACAAAAACAAGTAAAATCGAGACAAACAGCGGCCATGCCTTTCGGTTAGTAAGCGCCGTGGAACTGTCATTTTTGACCCCTGGCCCTCACTTTCCACCTGGGCCTGAATTTCGCACTTCGCACCAGTATTTTGCACCGGGGTCTGCACGTGGCACTTGCGGCTGCATTTTCCGCCAGGTCTTTGCCCCGGCCTGTACCGAGTTCCACCACAGAAACGTCCAATGAGGGAACGATATGCAAAGCAGGCGCCGCAATGGCTGCCAGGGCCTGCGGGCCACGTGAACCTGCGGCCTCCGTTGAGTGACCTCTGCTGAGTGACTGCAGCGCTCCATTCGGAGCTAGTGTGCACCTAAGGGGCATCTTAGCTACTTCAAATTCCACGCTCGCCCAGATGCAGCAGGGCAGGGCCAGTGGCAGGTGCTGGGGCAGGGACAAGGCTAGGGGCACGGACAGAGGGCCGACTGAGGGTTTCCGTTTTTTTGTAGGGGGAGGGGCAAGACACCATCAGTGCGCAGGCGTGAAAGTGCCGCGTGCAGCACCATGGGGGGTTGGGGGCGCCTTATATAAGCTCTTAGCCGCCACACCTCGTGGCCCGTGGCCCGTGTGCGCCACAGAGGTGGCCGCAGGCAAGTCGGGTAGCCGGCGCGCAGGAGCTCCGGCCCGCAGGCGTCTCTGGCAGGTAGGGTGCGGGGCCCAGGGTACTGAGGGCAGCCCAGACGGCAGGGGACTCCTCCGGATGCCCCTTGCTGCAAGCGGGAATCCCTCTAGGGACACGCGAAGGGCCCTCTGCCATTTCCAGGCATGGCGACTTGCCTGGAAGCCTCAAGAAGGGTCTGTGGCGGTTGGGCCCTTCCTCTCTAGCCCTCTGCCTACTCCCACTGCCAGAGGTACCCAGTCAGACACAAGGGAAGCATGAGGCGGGGTGCGTCTGTGGAGCGGTGTGGGGGACCTCGGGTTTGTTAAACTATGGACTCTTCGTTACGCAGGAGGGTTCCAGCTCGGAGCTGAGGAATGGGCAGGCACCACTGGGATCTGCTTCACTAGGGAGCAGAAGGGCGCCGGAGCACAGAGAAACAGGCGTGGGAGCTGGGCTCGGGCCTGCGTCCCACCGGGGCTTGGTGGCCCGCATAGGCCGCCGTGCGGAGTCTGGCGACCGAGACAGCGCTGGTAGCTGGGTAGCCTTCAGAGGAGGCGGGACTTGGCGTTAGGGCGGAGCTTGGCAGGGGCGGGGCTTGGTGGCGGGGGCGGGGCGGGCACGCCCCTAGACCCCTAGGGCCCAGCACAGAGTTGAGCGTAGCAGTGCACGAGGGTTATTCCAGGGCCTGGTGTGGCGGCGCGGCCCTCGGGAAAGAGCTGCAGGAAAATCGCCTGTGTCGTGCCTTGAGTCTGGAGGAGCGGGACCTGCTCGAGCGGGCGGAGCTAGAGGCTGCCGTCCATCAGAGCCACACTGTTAGCGTGAGGAGGAGTGAGGCAGGCCTTGTGGGGGGACCACAGCGACCCTGGCAAAGAGCGGAAGAGCCGCATGGAGCCACGGTGTCTCTGACTAGCAGTAGTAGCTCGGCATTCCAGACTCTTCTGGGCTCCAGATTCCAGTTTGAGAGCCGAAGCACTGGCTGCTCACTTCACTCTCCACCTCCCTGTCCCTCTCCCAGGCCCCTTCGTTGCCAGGACGGTCGCCCCATTTTGGGACATTGACACCACCGTACCCTATGACGCAGTGCTAGAAACCACCGTGCCCTGTGACGTGGTGCTAGAGAGGATCACGGCCTTACATTGAGCACAGCTTTCCCACTGGGTAAGCGTTTCCCGAGAAAGAGGGCCCCTCTGCGTCTCCCGCAGCCCCTTTTGACCCTGGTGGAGCCCAGCCCCATGCAGGCAGCAGGTTGTTCTGCCACTCTGTGCCCTGCTGACATTGCCTTTTTGCCACACGTAGCTGTGGCATGCGGGACTGAGTTCCTGGCCTTCTGGAAGAATCCGAAGCAGAGGGTGCGGCCCGCGGTGAGCTGCGGGGAGCTTTGCCATGGGAAGCAGGGGCGGGGCGGGGCGGTGGGGCGCAGAGGGGCGGGGCAAGCACTCAGGGCACTCTCACCCCTTTTGCACTGACAGGCTGTGGAACCCTGAGACACTTCTGCCTTCTTACTTCGCACCGGCCCGGAATTCTTTGCGTCGTGGTACACTCTGAGCTAACTGCCGCTTAGCGTTAGATCAGGCTGGAGAAAGAGGACAATGGCTGTGGTTCTGTTAGAGGACTGGTGCAAGGGAATGGACCTGGACCCCAGGAAGGCCCTGCTGATCGTGGGCATTCCTGTGGAGTGCAGTGAGGCTGAAATCAAGGAGACCGTGCAGGAAGGCCTGTACCCCCTGAGCATGTACAGGATAGTGGGCAGAATGTTCAGGAGGGAGGACAACGCTAAGGCTGTCCTCATCGAGCTGGCCGACACTGTTAATTATGCTACGATACCCAGTTGTATACCAGGAAAGGGGGGTTCCTGGGAAGTAGTGGTTAAACCCCGTACCGAAGATGAAGAGTTTCTCAGTAGGCTGAACTATTTCCTGAAAGATGAGGGCCGGAAAATTGAAGATGTGGCCAGAGTGCTAGGGTGTCGGGGCTTTTCTGTGGAGGATGAGGATGTAGGGACTTCGGGTCCAGTCAGTTCGCTACCTGTGCATCCTGTGAAGGAAAGTCTGTGGTACCGAAAGCTGAAAGTGTTTTCAGGGAGCCCTTCCCCAGGCTCAGGCGAAGAGCCCTTCGAGGCCTGGCTGGAGCATGTCACGGAGCTGATGCAGGTGTGGCAGGTGTCAGAGGCAGAGAAGCGCAGGCGCCTGCTAGAGAGCCTGCGGGGCTCAGCGCTGGCCACCATGCGGGTGCTCCGGGCCAACGATGACTCCATCACGGTGGTGCAGTGCCTAGACGCCCTGAGGGAGATGTTTGGCAGCAAAGAGGATGCTAAGACCGAGCAGCACTTGTTTCTCCAGATGCAGCACAAGTCTGAAGAAAAGGTCTCTGCTTTCTTGCTGCGCCTAGAGCCACTGCTGCAGAAAGTGGCCCGGCAGAGCCCATTTAGAGTGCAGGGCACGGACATGGTTCGCCTCAAACATGTCCTAGCTCAGGCCTCTGTGACCGGGGCCCTGCGGGGCAAGCTGGAGCTCCTAGAACAGCAAGGGTGCCCCCCGAGCTTCCTGGAGTTAGTGAAGCTTGTCCGAGAAGAAGAGGCGTGGGAGCATGCGGTGACGGTGACTAAGGAGAAGCAGACAGGGCAGACAGGGCACGGTGTCAGGGCTGTGGACAGACGGGAGACTGTGCAGATCTGTGCAAACGAGCCTCAGGGCCCTGTGCAGATCTGTGCAAACGAGCCTCAGGGCCCTGTGGCCATAGAGTACACCGCCTCTGCCATGGCCCTCATGGAGAGCAGCACCCAGACAGTACAGGAAGGGATCCCATCAGCCAAGAAGCGCAGGCTGACGCTGTCGGGCCAGGGCACAGAGGAAGGAGCCCAGACCCAGGTGATATGGCTGTGGGAAGGAAACAGGGAGGAATCGGGAAACGGGAAGGGGGCTGGGGCTCTGAGCCACCCCAAGCCCTAGGAAGTACAGGCTCAGCACACCCAGGCGTGCCTCACCCTGGCGCGCAGGACACAGGGCTCCTCCAGGGGAGGGAGGAGCTCAGACTAGCAGCAGGAGACCCGAGCAGGGTGGAGGGGCAGGGCAGCTGGGCCCAACCCCAGCCCCCTCACTCCCCACCAGCCAGGAGGGCCTCCCCACCCCAGGTACAAACCGAACCTGGCACGGGGAGGCCTGCGTTCGGGGAACCCAGGAGGCGCCAGAGGCGTGGTTGGGGAACCGGCAGCTGCAGCACTCAGGAAGCAGCAGATACCCTTATGCGGCTCTTGAGCTTTGAGTCCATCAAGGTAGAGGCTGATGATAGTGAGGATGGGATCTCTGGCCAGGATTCCACCAGGTTACCTCCAGATGCCCACCCTGTGGAGTCTGAGCACAAGACACCCACTGGCCCCAAGGCCACATTGAGCAAAGAGGTGCCTGTCCCAGGGCCACCCTTGCCAGAAGAATCCCAGACCAGTACATCAGAGGCTGGAGACAGACAGGCCACACTCCGGAGGGGAAGTCGCAGGGTGCAGCCCATCTTCAGGATCATTTATACCGCTCTAGGGGAGCCCCACGAATGCAGCATCCTAGACCCCCTGCGTGATTAAGGGCCTGGGGCTCAGCACCCAAGGCCCTTGGGGCCCCAAACGGTGTGGAGAAGGAAGAGGAGGAAGAGGAGGGAGTGGGTGAGAGGACAACTTCTTTCCAGACGGGAGGCGATGGAAGAGGAGCAAGGAGGAATAGATGTGGGGAGTGTTCTGTTGGATTCCTGCAGGGCCCTGCAGAATCAGAAAGCAAGCAGGGAGAACCGGGCTGCAGCTGCCAATGCCAAGCCAGCACCGAACCCTGCTGATTCGGGCACCCAGCCTAGAGGCACCCTGAGGGCCAGCTGCAGTCTGCATGAGGATGCCCGAAGGCATCTGCTCAGTCTCCCCTGAAGGAGATGTTTGAGAGAAGAGGCCATCTCACGTGTGCCAGTTGCCTGGCTCTCTCACTGGTGCGAGTGCCCCATTACTCCTCCATTTATTGTTCCTGTCCCTGGCATAAATTGCTTCCTGTCCGGGAAGCCCACGCATGTTGGTAAGCCCTGTAGTGACCCATGGTGCAGGTAAACGCTCACCCCAACCTGGCCGCTGTTCTTGGGCAAAGCTGTGAGGTGGGCATCAACCCTGCACGGAGGAGAGGGCCTGGCCCTACCGGGGCACCCAGCCATCCACCTGCAGGCCTGGGCATGTGTGGTGAGCTTCCTTCTGAGCCTGCCGAGCCTCTGACCGCTCCTGTCCGGTGCTGTGAGGTCAACCTCTGCTTTCTATGACTGTATCCGGGCCTGCTACCTGCCCCTTGTCCTCGAGGAGTTGTTTGTGTTCTCATTGGAACAGGTCCTGTCTGGAGACCCCAAGCTTCGTCCCAGTGGGAGAGAAGGATGGACGACGATGGAGTCACCTTGTGACTGTGACTGTGACCATGAGTGGGATGACAACTTTGGACAAGAAGAACTGGACGAGGGATGGAGGGACAAGGCTGGGGACTTTGCTTTGACATTCTTCCCATGTTGTTATTTGTGATTTAATTCTTTGGTGTGGTGGGGCATTTTTTGTTGCACTTTCTGGTGTCTTGGGACTGTCTAAAGCTGGGCATAGGGCAGGGCCACCCAGAAGTTTCAACCTAAAGTGAGTGGGCATTGCTAGGTGTCACCATCCTGGCGAGAGGCAGATCTGGAGCCCTCAGGAAGGAGGCAGATGAGGTCGGAGCTGTGGAGGGTGAAGGGTGACCAGACCTGTGGCCCTCATGGCCCCCAGGAGTCCTTTCTGTTTTGTTATGTTTCTTCCCAATGGTTCATCAAATGTTTTTCTTCAATAAACTTTACTGGATGTTCCAACTGCATCCCATCTCAGCTGTGGGTTAGTTTAGAGAAAGGGCAGCAGCTGGGGTGGGGGTGCAGTGGGGGGCTTAGCAGTGGGGCTGGGGGGCAGGTTCACGAGGGCCTGTGGAGTCCTCTTGCCTGGCTGGCTCGGGTTAATGGGATACTGGTGGGTGTGGGTGCCACTGAGGAACTTGGGGAGCTGCAGGAATGAGTTAGACATGGGACAGTGGCAGAACCGGAGACCCCAGGGTCCTTGGCAGTACTCAGAGGGCTCAGCATTTGCAGAGGGTCGGAAGCCCAGTGTGCATGCCCGGGCTGCCTGAGAAGTCCTGGTGAGGACTCCTGTGTTGAGGACCACAGGGACAGCTGCCCCTGAAAGAAGACTGTCTCCATGCTGGCTAAACCTAGCCCTACTTCTGTGTTTGTGCACTTCAGAGCTGGCCAGGGAAATGCTCCCCCGGCCCCCGCCCCGGCTTTATACAAGCCAATGGGTCTGGCTGAGGTGCTGATGTGTAGCCTTTGATGCAATGCAGCAGGTCAGTGATGCTCCGCACACAGCTCCCTACTGCTAAGCGTGAGCTGTCCCACACTGGGACAGAGCCTCGAGAAAGAGCTAGTGACATCCAAACTGTGTCACACAGATGCATCCACACTTAGAGGCTACCTGTTCCTGGAGTCGGGGCTCCTGCGTACCTCTCTCTGCACAATGCAGGGTGCCTTTGTGCCTCCTGCCTGGTGCAGCTGGCAGTGCTCATGTACTTCCTGCCATCCTCAGTCAGCCAACCTTGAGTCACTACGCTCTTCACAAATTAGTAAGACCTGGCCTCAGCCCTGGGTCTTGGCCTTTGTTGCGGTTGGTGTTATTCCCAACTGGACTTAGGAGCTCCTTGGCTCCCCACAACTATAGATATATCTGCATGTTTATTCTCGCCATGGTTTGTGCTATAAGTGGTAGAATGGAATTTCCTTACTAGAATCCCGGTAACTTTTTCCTAAGATTACAAATATAAATTCCTAGCCGAGTGTGGTGGCACAATCCTGCAATCCCAGCACCAGGGAGGCTGAGGCAGGAAGATCTCTGCGAGTTTGAGACCAGCCTGGGCTACAAGTGAGCTCACAGCCACTCTGAAAAACATAGGGAGACCCTGTCTCAAAAATACATACATACATACATACATACATACAATGAACTCCTCCGGGCTGCGACAAGAGGAGGAGGGGAAGGCAAGGAGGGGAAGAGGAAGGACACAATCTTCAGTGCAGCCAAGGAGCAATGGCCAGGACACAGGGGCTGCATCCACATAAGCTGACCAGCCAAGGGGGCTTCGGTGGCCCCAGGCACACAGGGCCATGGGTGTGAGATGGAGGGGAGTGGTAGAGGTCAGTGAGGCTCCACTTGCAGGCTCTGAGGCCCACATGGCTTGACCTTCTCTCGGGGACTCTTACAGCATGACCCATCAGGGCAGGGGACTGGTGGGATCCCCGACACAGTCTGCTAGCCCTTCCTTCATCAGGCAAGGCACTGTCCCCTGCATGTCCGTATCGACAGGTCACTTTCCAGGAGCCCCTCTGACTTGTGGCGACAGCAGAGGAAGACGGGGTAGGAGAAGGGCTGCCCGTACCTTGGTCGGAGTGGGCACATGCATGCCGTGAGCTCCAAGTGGGTGTTAGTGTATGTGAATGAATGTACATATGTATAAATGTGTGCAAGCACAGGTGTGTGGAGCTCCACATTTTCCAGACAAGCATGGTTTCTATACTTTCCTATTAAGTACTTAGTCGCTTTTGTAAAGAGGAATCAGTAGACCACACAGCTGAATTTGCCCTTATTACACTTAATGAAGGAAACTTTCACACTGGCACCTGTAATATCTTAACATTTATTCAAATGGTGCACATTGGTGTGGACTAAGCAAGTACAATTAGAAACACTAAGCGACTGAAAAGAAGCCAAAATGTTCACAACCATTCCTCTCCCTCAAGTCTAAAGAATTCGCAGTCAAAAGACCTGCAAGGCCTTTGGGATCAGACCCACACTGATCTTGCAAGCCATCTCCCTGTATCTTGCCTGCTGGTTCTGAAGCGCCCTGAAGGGCAGAGCACAGGTGGAAGGGGTCATGCTGATGCTTGGAGGTGGCACCTCTCCCCACAGCAGCGACTTCTTCTTCTCCTACTCATCCGGGTGGCATCTATGTGTTGGTGCCCACCCTGTGCCAGCCCCATGCTGGAGCCAGCACTGCAGAAGACTGGCTCTCATCCAGCATGGTCACACGGCATGCTGGATGGCTTCCCTTCAGAGTAGACCTGCAGCACAGCTATGCGGGTAAATGGGATGTCCCTCTGTGATCACGTGCGGGAATAAACAAATCCACAAGCCTTTGTACACAGGGCTGAGAAATGACAGAGATGGAGACAGTTTGCAATGACACCGAGAAGAGCCCTTGGCCTGTACCCAAACAACTACGGCTGTTTATCCTCCCTCTCGAGAAGTCCGCAAGTCAAAGCTCGGCACATAGGCCACAGCAGGGCATGTGGGAGGCTGAGCGCTGTGGGCCAAGTGTGTGCTAGGTGGGCCCACACCTGCCACGACCCGGCAGCTCCCCGCAGTCGGAGTACCTGGGCCCCGGGAGGTGCCACCAGCTAGAGCACTGTGGACTGAGAAACTGGGGGTCACTGACGGTTCCTTGCTTGGAGCAGCTAGCCTGCTAGAGCTCCCCTTGGGTTGACAAAGTCCTCTGTGGGATCACGGAAGTCCAATCTGTTTCCAGCCTAAAGCGTCAGTTCAGGGACATTTTTCACAGAAAGGGGAGGGGAAGAAGGGAGGCAACTTCATTCTTACGGTGCTTTATGGGGGCCGTTCAGTATGCCAGAGGAGCATGATTTCACATGGCCCAAGGGCCAGGGTTCCCCTGCACAGCTCTGGGCACACACTACACATGACAGCACGTGGACTCTGCAGCAGGACAGTGGCGGGGCTCCTCAAGGCCCTTTGGAAAGCAACAAGCACCCCTCTGAGCTGGAAGATGGGGACAAGGACAAGGACACCTTCCACAATGTCACTCCATCATAGTGCCCCACAGATGGCAAGGCACCACGAAATGGTCGCTGTTTTCTCTCTTCTCAGTCCTGCCAGAGTCCGCATTCCCTAAAAGCTATTTGAGTGTGAAGCGAGAAGCAGGAGCTGACGGCAAAGATGTTAATCGGCTGGTGAGATTCAACAGCCTTCTGGTCAGTAGCTTTCTAAGTCACACCCGAGAGACCAAAGGCCTAACTGAACAGCCTTTCTAGCGCATCCCTACGAGCCTGCAGGGCAAGTTCAAACGCGGAGAAAGGGTGATGGGAGAAGGCACAACAATCTGCTGCATATAATTCAATCAAAGACAACGAACTACTCTAAAAAGAGTACGGGAATTAAAAACATATACGGCAGTTAGGCGAGCTCAAGATTAGCCTACGCCAACCTTCAGCCTACCTCAGGCCAGGGCCTGCCATTTACCCACCAGGGATCGTCAATGTTCTTCAGCTTCGCCCCTCTGAAGCCTCGAGGGACTCAGTGCACACTAAAGCCATACCTCTGCCCACACCCCGTATGCTAGGCCACCTCTATTCATTAGAAAGCCTCTGACCCAGCCTGAAACGAGGTCATGAATGTTAAGTGCCTTCTCTCACGTAAGGGAACATCATGGTGTCGGAAAGATATGATACTGCATGTAAGTAACATCAACCTAAGAAGGGAAGAGAAAGAAGCAACCAGAGGGAGGAAGGAACCAGCGACTTGGGGCAGCCAGTCTTGTCCAGGACTCATCAGCTTCTGAGCAGCCTGGGGGAGCTGCAAGAAAGCAGAAGCAGCTATAAGACTAGAGGTGCACAGCCCACCCAGCAACCAAAAACAGGCTCCTGGGGCTGCGGGCTGCTTCCACCATCAGGAGCTAGGGGCCAGCTCAAGTGCACCTCGTGCAGAGACGGCCACTTGTGCTTCGCTGGGGGAAGGTCTACATGCCAGCCATTTGTGCTGTCTTTGAGAGAACTACCGTGCTCTGTGCTTGGACCCTGCCGGCACGTTCGCTGGCTGCTAGCACAGGGGCATGCATACTGGGCTACTGAGTTTGAATGTGAAGTCAGGTGGGAAATAGTGGACTGGAATCCACAAAGCCGGGGTGGCTTCCTGATTCTAGCATAAACCAATGAGGTGGTTCCCTAGACCCCTTCCCTTTCTAAGTCTTCACTTCCTAGTCACAAGTCAGGGCTAACAGAGACCAGAGACAGCCCAGAGCAGCTAGAGGACACATGGGAGGTGCTGGGCGGAAGACGTTTCTTAAGAGAGCAAGACCGACCGTGGCTCTGGCAACTTGGAAGCATCCTCAGGGAGGGGTCTGTCTGTGCCTCTATAAGACAGAGTAGGACGGCAGTGTCCTGGGCAAGGACTCAGGAATATTTCTGCCCCAATGGGTCACTTGTCTGTTTGTCCCTTGAGCTGGCAGCACCCACCTAGAAGAGCTTCTCGTAGCAGTTCCCACAGTGGATGGTGTCACGGTGGATGTAGATCTGATCCAGGAGGTCACCCATTGGCTTACTGCAGATGCCACACTGAAAGAGAAAACAAGGTGGTGGTCACCGTGCCAGTGGGGCAGGTCAAGCAAGTGGAGCAGGAGAGGGCCCGCGCAAAGTGGGCAGGCAGATGCGTGAGCTGACAGCACATCCGGGACTTTCCAGAGACAACCGCACATGGAAACAAACACACACAAACAACGAAGCAAAACTCAACCTCAAAAACAAGCAAAACTGAAAAACCACAAAAACTGGCTGGCAGAATCATCGCACAGTGGTCAGGAGCCTGATGTCAGAATTCAGCCTTTGCTCCACTGTTCATTAGCCAGATGGACTAGAGTTACTCCAAGCCCCAGCCTCCATGTCCTTGTCTATGAAAGGGACAAAGGATAGGAGGCACTGCCCAAGGTCACCAGGAGCACTCGGGGACACAGACGACGAAGAGCGCTTAGTCTAGGGCCAGGCACCAGCGCTCAGCGACTGCCAGCGGCCCTGCTGTTGCAGGAGAGAAGGTGAGGCATTACTGGTGATGTGTGAGGTCCAGAGGAAGGTGACGGTAGAGTCCCCTGAAAGGGAAGGACCTCTGCCCAGCGCACCCTTGCAGCATCACGATGCTCAGGTACCCCTCTGGGAAGGCCAGTCTCAAACCTAAGGCTAAGTTCTCTGGCTCTAGCTTCCCAAAGGGTGCTGGGAAGGGCAAAGAAAGCCCGGGAGGCACGTCCACGGCCCTTTGCTCACTTCTGCCAGGCGCCCTTCCAATGGAAATGGGGCACATGGGGCACCCTTTTACTCCCGGACTCCTTTCTCCTGGCAGTGGTCCCTCTCAGTCATGTATCGTGATTCTGTCATTTTAATTAATGTGAACCAGGCTTGAACTTGCACTGAGGTGGCTGACAGTGCAGACCCATTTGGTGTCACCTGTAAGCAAAGTGGGCCTTCAGGGGCTCCACACCCTGGACATCAGAGATCCCTAAGAGCCACCACCATGTGGTGACCAAGGGTGTAACACTATAAGTTAGACTCCCCCCTGGGAGGGAAGGAAAGCCTGAACTAACATGAACCGCCCTGGGCAGCTTTTCCTGGGATGTCCTTGGCTCTGATGCCACAACCATGACCGCCACCTTCAGTTCTACATGGCTCTGTGACCTTAGAAAAACGGTACCCATGGAAGTGGCTATCAGGCCCTCTGCTCACCCTCCGAGAATCCCCTGTACGTCCAAGGCCGACTTCAGCTCATGTCCCACAGCCTGAAACCAGCCCTGTGCACCTCTCACCTCACATCCCAGGACCTCCGCATCCAAGAGCTCACCACCCTCCCCTTCTCCTCCCCCCATGCGGCCATGATTCCCTCCTCTCCTTACAGTTGGCGACCATGCTTTGCACGGGCCAGGAAAACAGAAGCAACTGCAAGAGAAAGTCCCTCACTAGTGGCCAGAGGGGTCCTCTGGTGGACTCCAGGTGCACTGAGAATAAAATCTGAAGTCCATGTCCTCCAAGGCCTACAGAAAGTAATCCGCAGATACCTCTGTGACCGCATCTCCTACCATTCATTCTCTCACTGGCCAGCCTAGCTAGAAATGTGTGCTGCTGCCCCAGTGCCTTTGCACTTGTTGGCTTGGTGTGAGGAAATCTTTCCCAGAAGCCACTTCAGTCTCAGTGTCAGTACTAAGCCCTGCCCACACTCACTCAGTCTTGGGGGCCCTCAAAGCAGCACCCTCCTTTCTTACCTTAAAGCAATATTCATGGCAGCAGATACCGAGATGCTCTAGGGTGATCTTCGGACAGTCCTGGATCTCACGGCTGCAGTAAGTGCAGACCCCTCCCATTGTTCTATGAGATGAGGAAGAAGCCGGCAGTCAGGCTTGCTGTAGGCCTCTGCGTTACCCCTCCAGAAGGGTCCTGGGCCTCACAGCCCCTCAGGCTAGAGTTTCAGGTACAGACCTCGGGCTGACTATCTTCCCTGTCCTCTGCTTTTCCCCTCAGACAGGACCTGCTGAGCTGCACCTCTGAGCGGACCCTAAGGCTGAAATGAAGGGTGCTTTCTCTCCGGAAATGCGGGCCTACTTCTGACAGGACCTGCGGCCGTATCAGCTCCCCTCCAAGGCCCTGCAGCACCGGGACATCCTGGATGTGCCCTTCCACCCTGCCGCTGGACAGAGTCCACTCTCCAGGCTTCATAGTGCCTAGCGCAGCCTGCTCCTCCCTCCACCACTTACAGCTCACGGTTTTGTACACTCATGCACGTGAGCGTGTGAATGACTAGGGCTGGCCCTCCCTCCCTCCCCGCAGGCCAGGGTTCACCAGTAAGATTTGAGTGTGGAGCTGCTGGGACAGGGAGCAGAGGCCTCTCCTAGGGCCTGGATGTGGCTGGGTGGCAACAAGACAGGGGGTGGGACATTCGTATCTCTTTCCTTTCCTCCAGGGTCCTGGGAGGAACCCCCTAGTCTTAGCTCTCTCGCTTCCGCCCTTTTTTGCCCCGGCCCAGCAGTGGCCTGTGAATGTCAACCCCAGGCATTCAGATCTGCTAAGTGAGAAGGCACAGCAGAGCAGACACCGCCCCAGCCTGGGAGGCCGCGTGACCTAAGGCTGGTGACTCCCCTTGGACTTCCTTCTTTCACTGGAACCTGAACATATTCAATCCCCAAGACTCTGTGCTCTCCTGCTCTAAGAGTTCACAAATAGGGCTTTATGAGAAAGACCACTCTGCACCGTCCTGCAGCCTGAGTCCTACGTCTCTTTTCTGTCTTCCTGACCACAGCAGCCTAGTACTCCTTTTGATTTTTCTACCCACCATTCTGTTTTGTGGTTGCCTTTCTTTTGACATTAGCTCACACGTGTGAGCTAATTAAGCAACCAATTAGGGCCTAATTCCGGGTGTCTCTGCTGCTGACATGAGTCCCCTGGGCTTTCTGACATCAGTTCACCTCTTTGTAGCCTTTTATGTCTACCCTGTGCTCTCAGCTGTATTCAAAGGCTCTCACTGCCACAAGTGTGACATTCCTGTAAGGGAGGAATCAGCCTCCCCTGGGCCCTGAACCACATGGCAGAGCTGCAAACAGCCTGGACACTGCGAAGCAGTAGGCAAAGGCAAACAGAGCAAGGAGGCCTTCCTGGGGTCTCCCCCACAGAACTGGGGACCCACATGAAGAAGGCGGACATACCTCTCGGGGTGTGGAGTGCCGTCATATGGGCCTCTCTTCTGCGGGTCATAAGAGTCCTCAGTGCTGCTGACACTGCGAGGAGTATAACGGGGGAGGAAGGCAAAGGACGGAGGCAGATCACTGTCACATCCACGCATAGGGGACGGCCCGCCAACCACCCCTGTGGCTCCAGGCTGAGACACAGCTTCACTGGAGAGCCTAACTGCAGCCACAGGAGCTGATACTGAGGACACGAACTGCTCCTGAAGTGCTCTTTCATGGGGGACAAAGAATGCCCACGTGGTGAGAGAGGTAGCAAGGCAGAGAGATGGCAAGGTGTCCTTGGACAGCCACCACTGACCATGGCCAGCGGGAACAGCAGGGCAGGATATAGCAGTCACACAAAACCATGAGTGTGGAACAGAACAAGCTTTAGCCGGGGCCCCTGAGCCCGCCCTCTGTGGACCCTGGAGAGAAAAGCGTCACTCAACACCATGGGGGACTATGTTTGGATTTCTTTTTTCTTTTTTTCTTTTCCTTCTTTCTTTCCTTCCCTCCTTTCTTTCTTCACCATTTTTGGGTGGAAGTGTTGTGGGGTTCATTTTTCCTTTTTTCCTTATTTTGTTCAGTTTTTAAAATATGGCTTCTCATTCTTTTTTGATCTCTTCTGTTACTTTTACCTAATTCTGTGAATTTTCTTCTACTCCGTTTAGGAGAACTGGATGCTGGGCCAATTACACTGCAACCACCCCGCCTAAATTAACAAAGGGAGTGGGATCTTGGGACAGAGACAAAACCCTAGTGTCACCATGCCCACAGCGTGTTAATGAAAAGCAGATACTAACTAAAGAGAACTCCATACTAGCGAGGAAGTCTTTCTACTATAACTGGCCCACAAAACTCTGCACAAAAATTTAAAAATTAAACTAGTGGAAACATAAGAGGACACTACAACAGAAGGCCTCCAAAAACTCCCAACTCCCACAAAGTCAATTCAGGAATATCAATGGGAGAAAAATCAAAAGTCCAACAACTAAATTAAATGAAATGATAAAAGAGAAGATTAAAAAGCAAATCACTAAGGTTCTCAGTGAGATCAAAGATCATACAACTAAACAGATAATGGACTTAATAAACAAAATATTAGTAAGCTTTAAAAAGACACTGATAAAAAGCTAGGCGACTGAACAAAACAATGTCAAATATGAATGATCAGTTTAGCAAAGAATCAGAGTCCATGAGAAGGTAATAAAAAGAAACCGAGGACATAAAAATTTCTATTGAATGTAGTGGACAGTTCTCTGTGGAGATTTCTTGTTGTTGTTGTTATTTTGTTTTCAATACCAGGGATCAAATTCATGACCTCGCACCTGCGAGCAAGGCACTTGTGCCGCTAAGCTAAATCCCCAACTCCACTCAAAGATATCTTAAAAACAACAAGAGAACATGGAGAATGGTTCCAATATCTCCCAGACAATGAAAATAAGACTAATCTAAAATTAAGTGGAATTAGTGAAAAACCAGAGGGTTACCCAAATAGCATACAGATTCACTAACAAAAAAATATAAGGAATGGATTTTGGATCTTGCATGCAGATTAAGTGAGGCATACAGAACCCCAAATTGCAGTAATCAGGAAAGAACTTCTCCACAAAAAACAGTCAAAATCCCAGAAGTGTAACAAAGACAGAAGCTTAAAAGTTGTTAGCAAAAAGTAAAAAATCACTTATACAGGTAAACTCATTAGAATTACAACAGATTTCTCAATACAAACCTTAAAGGCCAGGAAAGCTTGGAGTGAAGAGTTTCGAGCCCTATAGAAAACAACTTCCAGTGCACACTATCTTTCAAAACTGACAGAAGCCAGGTCTGGTATCATACTCATACATCTCAGCACTCTGAAAGCTGAAGCAAGCGCATCACTGAGAGTTCAAGGGCTGGCATAGTGAGACTGTCTTTTAATGACAAAGGACACCTTAAGAAATTCATTAATATCACACTGGCACTACAGAAAGTTCTCAATGATATCCTAGAAAAAGACAAGCCAAAAACTCAGCCAGGGGATTAGCTGAGTGGCACAAGCAGCTGCCTGGCAAGCACAAGGTCAAGATTTTGATCCCTGGTACCAAAAGAAAAGAATGCCAAAAGCTCTAGTAGAATGACTATAAGGCAGGGTCAGCAGTTAGGCAGAAGGTAGAACAAAAGCAATAGGAAAATCATACAAAGACAGGATAAGTATTTTTCAATAATACCTCTCAATGGGAATGATCTCCACTCTCTAATCAAAGAAACAAAGTGGCAAAACAGATCAAGAAACAAAACCCAGCTGGGCATGGAGATGCATGCCGGTAATTCCAACACTAGGGAAACTGAGGTAGTAGGTTCACCATTAGTTTGAGGCCAGCCTGGGTCACACAGTGAGCCCAAGGCTAGTCTGAAGTACATAAGGAGACCCCTCTCAAAAACAAAACAAAACAAAAAAGTTGGGTGTGGTGGGGAATGTCTGTAATCCTAGCACTTGGGAAGCTGAGGAAGGAGGATCCCCACAAGTTTGAGGCCAGCCTGGGCTCAAGGCCAGCCTGCACTGCAGGCTGAGTTCAAGGCCAGCCTGCACTACACAGTGAGACCCTGTCTCAAAAAGCAAGCAAGCAATCCAGGCAGCCCAATTATATGCTGTATACATTAAAATTCACATAATCCAGAAAGAAATTTACAGTCTAAAAAATCAAAGGATGGAAAACAACATTCCATGCAACATGAATCCAAAACCATTTAGGAGTAGCTATTACATTTTCAGACAACATTGGTTTCAAGCCAAAAATTATCAGAAGCAAAGAAGGTCGCTACACATTGACTGAAGGAACAATTCAACACAGAGATAACAATCATAAACATGCATGCATCAAATACCAGCACATACAACTTCATAAAGTAAACACTACTGGACATAAAAGATCAGATAAACTTCAGTGCAATCATAGTGGGGGACCTTAGTACCACAGTGCCACAAATAGGTCAACTAGACAAAAAAATCAAAGTGAAACAAAACCTTCAAACAAATGGACTTAATAGATGTCTAAAGAATATTCCACTCAATGATAGAACACACATTCATTGCAGTAACAGACCATATGCTAACCTACAAATACGTAAGTCAATGCAAGAAAACTGAAATTATAATTTGCATATTATCAGATCATAGCCCGATAAAGCTAGAAATCAAAGGCAGTAAAACACAACAAGTATGCATGTGCATGGAAATTAAACAATAAACTTCTGAATTATCAACTGGTGATAGAAGAAATCAAGGAAGAAATGAAACATTTCCTAGAATCAAACAGTAATACCAGCACAACATACCAGAACTTATCAGACACAGGGAAAGCAGTCCTAAGAGGGAAGTTTACAGCTGTGAATGTCCACATCAGAAAAACAGAGCAAGCCCAAATAAATAATCTAATCATGTACCTCAAGGTGCTAGAAAAACAAAAATAATCCAAATTGAAACCAAGGAAGATAATTATAAAGATCAGAGTGGGAGTCAATGAAATTGAGACTAAACAAAATACAAAAATCAGTGAAGAGCTAGTTCACTGAAAGAATAAACAAAAGAAACAAATCCTTACCCAGTCTCATTTAAAAAAAAAAAAAAAAACCATGAAATCAATACAATTAGAAATGAAAAGGGTGAAATCACAATGGACACCACTGAAATCCCTATTAGTGGCAGACACTTTGAAGACCTGTTGTTATGGCTTGTGTTTAAATGTTCCCCCCAAAACTCATGCAGTTATGGAGTCAGGTAAGTCCAGTGTTTGTGACTGGTTCATTGTCTAGTGCTGGGATTGGCAGTGTGAGTGCTGCACCTGCCCAGGGAAAAGGAACTGACATACAATGTAAGGGAAGGAAGGAGGCACACTTTCCCCTTTTGCCCTTTTTGCTCTTGTCATTTGCAGCCACGCCACACTGCCTTGGAGCCAGATTAGTATAGACTGAGACCTCCACATACTGTGAGCTAAATAAACCTTTCCTTCCTTAATCTTGGGTATCAAGTATTTTGTGTCAACAATGAAATAAAAGTAACAAAGACAACTGTTCACCAATAAATTGGAAAATTCAGAAGGAATGGATAAATTCCTAGGTACAAATGAACTACCAAAACTGAACCAAGAAGATACAAAAACCCTGAATAATCCAATGACACGCAATGAAACTGAAACAATAATAAAAAGTCCAACTAAGAAAAGCCCAGGATCTGATAGATTCACTATTGAATTCTACAAGAACTACCAGGAAGATCTAATAATTCTCAAAGATCCAATAATTCTCAAAATCTGTAACGAAATTGAAAGAGAAGCAGCACTCCCAAAGTCATTCCTGCAAGTTAGCAGTACCCTGATTCCAAAACCAGAAAAGGACCTGAAAAGACAACTGCTGGGCAATCTCTTTAAATAATATAGATGCCAAACTCCCCACTAAGGTACTGGCAAACCATCATCAAAATGCAACAAGTCACTGAAATTACACTACATCATGACTAAGTTGGCTTCCTTTCAGGGATGCAGACATAGTTCAATATATGCAAATCAATGAAAGCAATATGCCACATTAACAGAAACAAAGACAAAAATCACATGATCATCTCGATAGATGCAGAAAAAGCCTGTGACAAAATCCAACATCCATTCATGATTTTTTAAAAAACTTAAGAGCCAGGGATTTAGCTCAGTGGCATAAGAGCCTACTTGACAAGTGCAAAGTCATGAGTTTGAGCCGCAGTACAAAAAAAAAAAAAAAAAAAAAAAAAAAAACAAACCCTGAAGAAAATGGATATAGGAGACCTTGTGTCAATCTGATAAAAAATCCCTCTCTGACAAACTTACTGCCAACATCATATTAAATGGGGAAAAGCTAAAAGCTTTTCCTGTAAAATTAATAACAAGACAAGCATGTCTACTAGCACTACTCCTATTCAAAATAGTACTCCAAACATCAGCTGGAGAATCAGGCAAGAGAAAAAATTAAAAGGGATATGTATAGGAAAAAAATTAGTCAAATTATAATTTGCAAATGACACGATCTTTTATATAGAAGGCCCAAAAATTCCACTAGAAGACTCCTAGAAGTAATAACCAAATGCAGCACAGCGGGATACAAAATTAACACCCATAAGTCAATGGCATTCCTGTACACTAATAATGAACTCACTAGAAAGGAATTAGGAAAACAGTATGTTTTCCCAATAGTATCGAGGAAAATTACGCCTGTGATCTTAGTATTCTACAGATTGAGGCGGGTTGGATCACCACAAGTTCACGGCCAGGCTGGGCTACATAATGAGTTCAAGGCCAACCTGAACTGCATAGTGAGACTTTGTCTCGAAAACAACCCAAAACTACAAACAAACAAAAAATATTTCAGATGTACAAAAAAAGCTCATGAAAATAAACATACAAGTCAGGCATGGTGGCACACACCTGTAATCCCAGTACTCAGGAGGCTGAGGCTGGAGGACTGCCATGAATTCGAGGCCAGTCTTGGCTACATGGTGAGTTTAAGGCCAGCCTGACCTCCATAGGTGAAATCGTGTCTCAAAAAGAAAGGAGGAAAAGTTAAATATTTAGAAATTAACCTAAGCAAGGAAATGAAAGACCTCTATGACAAAAAATTACAGTGATGTTCAAAAAAAAGGAGATTGAAGGGGACATCAGAAAATGGAAAGACATCCCCTGTTCCTGGACAGGCAGTATTAATGCTGTCAAAATGGTCATACTCCCAAAACTGGTATACAAACTTTTAAAAATTCCAATAGTATTCTTCACAATACTAGAGAAAACATTCCCTAAAATTCCTATGGAACAAGAAGAGACCTAGAGTAGCCAAAGTGGTTGTGAGCCAGAAAACCACGACAGGGGGCAAAGCTACGATGATAAAAATGGGACGGTAGTGGGTCAATGCTACAGAACAGAGGAGGCGACCACACAGCAGATACACGCAGCCCTCTGACCCCTGCGAAAGGGGCCAGAATCATACCCTAGAGGAAACAATCACCTCTTTCACATATTGTTCTGGGAAAACTAGCTCTCCACATGCAGAAGACTGAATCTAAAACCACATCTCAGGCCACATACTAAACCGAAAGCAAGGTCAGTCAAAGATCTAATTGTTCAGACAGACACACTTACTTACTAGAAGATCAAATAAGGCATGGGCACAGGCAAGGACTTTCTGAACAGAACCCCAGCTGCATCAGAAATAGCACCAAGCACCAACAAATGAGATCACAGCGAAATGAAAACCTTCCGCACAGTGAAGGAAACAACCAACAGAGTAAAGACATAACCTATAAAATGGGGAAAAATTCTTGCCAGCTATTCCTTGGGCAGAGGATCAATATCTGAGACATCTAAAGAACTCATACAATCAGAACCCTCAAATGAAAGAACCACCAAAAATGATCAACTGAAAAATCAGCACAGAGCTTCCTCAGAAAAGGTAAAAGTAGAAATTCCATTTAATCCAACGAGTCCATTCTAGGGAAAGACATCGCATTGCAGTGGTATGTGCACACTCATGTTTAGAGCAGCACATTCCATAGTAGTTAAATCCTGGCAGTGCCTAAGCGTCCATCAACGGATGGATGAAGTGAATGTAGCACAGTGGAGTACTACTGTGCTAGAAAGAAGGACAGGCTTGAGTGGTTTGTAGGAAAATGGATGCACTTTGAGACCAGAAGTGTACCTGAAAGAAATCAGATACCTAAGCTTCAATACTGCATGTCTATTATACGAGAAACCTGAAGTTTAAATATATTAAAGTGCAAATAAAGGATAATAGGAAATAGGGAGGGAGGTATTTTGCAAATGGGAAGGGAACCAAGAGATAGACAGAAGGGTTAGGCTGGGACAGGGAAGGGAACATAAAAAGCATTAAAATGTTTATGTCCACAGACAGGCTCTCCATTATGAATGTAATCATTATGCACTGAAAACATGTACTGATACTTTTTTAAATTGGCGGCGCACGCCTGTAGTCCCGGGACTTGGGAGGCTGTGTGAGGCGGGAGGATGGCTGCAAGCTTGAGGCCAACATGGGCTATGAAGTGAGTTTAAGGCCAGTCTCAACCGCATAGTGAACTAACCCTGTCTCAAAAAGATAAAAACATTTTCTCCTAAATAAATACTGCCAGGGAGGGATAGCTAACTAGCTACAAGCCCTGGGACACAAGGTGTGAACAAAATTTAAATTAAACAGGACGCCCTCCCCCGTTTGAACACACTCATCTCATCACTGTCGCAGCAGTTCTGGAAGTGCTCTCTCCACAATGGCTTTCGGAGGCCTGGTGGGAACGCAGTGAGGGCTGAGCACCAGCCTGCAGAAAGGTGGGCTTGTCAAACATGAGGCTGTGTCCCCACCCAACCAGCTCGCTAGATCCGGCACCGTGTGACTTCTGTGTCTTCCCCAAAGTCAAAGTGATCGTGACAGTTAAATGCTTTCACTTCATCCAGCCATGAAAGTGCATAAAGACATCATGAAAGACGAGTCCAGCACTGTCTGACGCAGTGAGAGAGTAACAGGCTAAGTATGCTTAGTATGGGGAGAGCACTTTGAGATGGACTAGTGACAATCTGCCTTGTATTGTAGTAATTTTTAAACAAAATAAACTGTAATTTACTACTTTTTTTTAACCAGACCTCATACCTGTTAATGCGGCCATTTCCTAGGGAGCTGTGTGGTGGTCCTGAGAGGCTAAGTGACCCGCCCATGGTCATGCTCTGAATAAAGGACAAGCTAGATTTGAAGCTAATGTGCTACTTTCTTCTTAGCATTAAGCTCATGCCTAAGCTTCCTAGAGGGAAAGCAAAAAGCGAAACTGCCATGGACTATGAGATTTTCACTGTCCACTAAAAAAATCTGCAGGGTTTTCATAAGACATATTTGACTGATTGCTAAATTCTATTGTAAAACAGGGTCAGTTGTCAGACTCTAAGAAAGCCAACAGACTGGTGGGACTCGGAGAGGCAAAAGCAGGAGATGCATAGTTCAGTCAAGTGAACCCCGGAGAGGCCGGCAGCAGCTGGCAGTGCTGGCACTCCTGGCTGTCCCGGGGGCCTCGCATACATCATTCCCATTACTGCTCATCTCGAACTTTCCCGGACATGGTTACAGAGACGCATGACAGATGAGTGGCGCCAGGGGACGCAGAGGGGTGCTAATGGGTCTGTGGGTTCTTTTTGGGCTGAGGAAAATGTTCCAGGGTTGGACAGTGGCGATGCTGCTTGCTTGTGTGAATACACAAACATCTCTCAGATCAGCCCCTTTAAACGGTCAGTCAGAACTCGGTCTGCTGAGAAGCGTCATCCAAGGGAGTGCAGGTGAGGATGCTGGGGCAGAGGGGCCAGCTGAGCCAGCCTGCCCTTCACCCTCATGCTCCTGCCCGTCATCCCAAGGCCCACAGAGAGCCAATCTGGACAGCCTGGAGGCCCAACCCTGGTATAAGGCCGGCACACTGCTCCAGCTACTAATCCCATGCCGCTGCAGCGAAGCACCGTGTTATAATAAGCATCTCTGCCTCAGTGTGTTCAGAGTGGGTAGGTGGTAGGGCACTGAGGTGACATGGAGGTACCCTGCCACATAGCACCAGAAAACAAGCAGGTGAGAAGTTGAACAGTGAGGAGTGACACACAGCTAGGCACTGTGGGCAGCTTGGCACGATCGGCCATGGCTGCCCTGAAGCTATCCGGGAGCCGGCCCTGCACGAGGCTGGCTCAGAGCCTACTGCGGGAAGCCGAGGCAGGGAGAGCTTGGGTCTTGGCCTTACCAGCTGTGCAGGGTGGACGCCGGCCTCCCGGAGGACACCTCGCTGGCATTCACGTACTCCTTCACGAAGAGAATCCCTCTGCTGCTGCACACACAGAATTTTACCAGGTGACGCTGTGAGCCAGGGCCTGGCCCCCAAGAAGGGCTCAGTTACACACACACACACACACACACACACACACACACACACACACACAGAGTCCCCCATGAAGGAACCACAGAGGCTCACGGGGAGGCATCCAGGTGGTCTTCTACCTCCCAGAACATAGTCCAGCTTCCAAAACCCAAGGGCAGCTGCAGATACAGCTTCGGGCCCTGGACTCAGGCTGGCCCCTCAGCCTGCGGCTGCAGCCATGTATAAGCTACAGCTCTAGAAAGCAGCTCCCTGCGGTGTGCTCCCCTCCATGCAGATCAGGCCTCAGCTTCTCTGAGGAATTCTGCTGCTGGCAGCGGAGGACTCTCGGGTTCCCCTGGGGATCAAACCCAGGGCTCTGTGCATGCTAAGCAAGTCCTCTGGCATTTGGCTACTTCATCCAAGCTCTTTACTTTTTATTTTTAATTTTGAGAGAGTGTGTCAGGAGCTTCTCAGAATGGTCTCAAATTTGTGATCCTCTGTTTCAGCCTCCTGAGCAGCTAGGAATGCAGGCCTGTACCACCACAATGGGCTTTGGCTTCCTAACGGGATGTGGAGAAGGGTGAGGGGGATTATGTCGGAGGAACTAACACCGAATTATGTGGTCACTCGGACAACGGGCTGCTGAGAGTTGGGAAAGCACTACGGGGGAACAAGAACTGGGACTCTTCCTTCCAGGGAGGACCCAGGGAACCCCTGTAGTGCCCACAGAAAAGTTCCCAGCAGCCAGCTCGCCCTCCTTACGTGCTTGAGCCAGTGTCCAGTTCACTCAGCGGGGCCGGCATATAAACATCATGCTGCTCAGAAGCGGCAGCGGCGCTGACGGTAGCAGTGACCACACAGCTTGTGGGACTTCTCACCCTGAAAGGAAAGGAAGAGGCAAACCTGTCAACACAGAGACCTGACAGCTGCCCAGGCCAGGACGGGGAATTCCAGCCTAGCCTGGAGACTGCCACTTCGAGGGGTTTAAATGAATGCCAGCTTCTGCGCAAGGTGTCTGTGCATCTCTTGACATCTGTCCTGCATATTTCTTGCATCTGTCCCTAATTTCCATAGGGACCAAGTGGAACTACTTGCTCTGTAGAAGTGGCCCAGTCACCATGCATCAGTGGCAAGACTTCTGTCTTCCAGTGTTACCCTGAACTCCCGACTGACTCAGGGCTGCTGGGGCGTGAGTCGGGAGGCACAGAAGGGAAGACGCTGTCTAGCTTACCTCCTGCCCCATCCCGTGGAGAACAACGGGGAGCAGAAGGCCAAGGAGATGGCCCAGTGAATGTGGTGCCTATGAGTGGGAACCTCCCATGCGCCCCGTTCTGGAGGTGTCCGCCAGCATCAGAGGTGGGACACAGATGGACAGGGTGGATTTTCTGCCATCTGCAAGCCCAGGTTTCAGGCCTGAAATCTGACCTCTTAGGCAGCTCGCAAGGCCAGGACCTAACTCTGCTGCCCCCAGGTATCCGAGTTAACCACAGAGGCCTGGTGCCATCCAGGGCATTCGGTGGCACCACTCCTGACTATCTGTCTGTCCTTCCCAGCTCGTGTTTGTCTACCTTCCAGCAGTTTTGGGCCACTGCCATGGGTGGACATTCCCGGGGCTCAGCTAAGCTCTGCGACTGGTTGACTCAGGAGCATCACCCCTAGCCAAAGAGTTCTGCACCCAAGACCACAATGAGTTCACGACCAGCAAGAAGGAACCCTGGGGATCTAGCATCCACCTGCCTCTCATTCTCACTGTGTCGCCTCCACCACACTAAATGGCCCAAGGCTCCCCAAATGGGCCAAGCTCTCCCATGGCTTTACAGGTAACACCTCACTCCCACGCTCACACTGTGGGGCGTGTGAGCCTCCAGCCTCCAGAAATCCCCTCATTCTGGCCACTCCCCAACCAGTGTGCAATTCGAGGATGTAGCAGAGAGACTGAAGAGGCAGGCTGGGTGGGAGAGAAAGTTCCATGGATACCTGGAGACAGGTGGAGACAGAACGCACGCAGGGCCAAAAAGTGACACAAGAACTGCTAACAAGAGGAGTCAACAGTAAGCAGGAATGCAGCACCCCGTGGCTCATGTCCAGAGAGGGCTCAAGGGGACGGAGAATCGAAGGGGCAAAGCTACAAGTAAAACTAAAAACCCCATGGCGCCTCCCACAGGATGGCAGCGTCAGCACCTGGGCCCCGAGCTGCCTGGCCCTCACAGGGAGACACGGCGCTTGCCTGCAGCCCGCAAGCCCTCGAGGCCCTGCTCCCGCCTCCACTCACCTCACCTCCCAGCCCGCAGCCACACGGCCCATGGTTAGGCCCTCTTCCCTCTCTCCACATGTGGCCTCCGCTTACTAATAAGTCAGGCAGCTGAGTGTCCTGTTAGGACATGGGGCCAGAGTGGAGGCGGGCCTGAGGGGTGACCGAGAGCGTGCATTCCTGTCCTTGGCACCTTCCTTCTCTCTCTGCTGCCACGGGCTAAGCTGTCCACTATGTCCTCTCACAATGCTATTCCTGCCTTGGAGCCAGCAGGCCAGGGACCAAACCCTCCGGAATAGTGGGCCAAAATAAACCTCCTTTAAGTCACAAGTATCAGCTGTTTTACCCCACCTACAGGAAAATGACTAAGACAGACACACAGATAGGCCAGAGGTCACAGCAGGTCGGTGGGTCACAGTCAGGTAAGGGAGCAGGAAAACAGCCACAAAGCACAAGGAATGGGAGAACCTTAGATTACGCCCCATCCTGCTTCGAAGCCGAAGCCTTTGCTACACTTCATGCTGGGCAGGAGTCAACCGTAGGCTCCTGGGAACCAAAGGTATGGAAGGCAGAAAGTTCTTTCAGAGATGGAGATTCTGTTCACAGGCAGGAATGCGCTGCTCTCATCAAATCACATCATTCTCTCTTGCCCTCTCTATCCTGCTCCTGTATGGTGCACAGCTCCGCGGCCCTGCCAAAGAGCACGCTGCAACCGACCCAACAACTCCTGCATCCCTTGGAGGGCTGCCAAAGTGATTTGAGATGTGGGACAGTCTTAGGCTGCTTTAAAACTTATTCTCAATCCAGAGGATAAATAAAAGACAGCATGGAATAGGGAGACACAGTAGACCTCGGCAAATGGGAAGGGGAGAGAGACGGAGGCCAGGGAAGGAGAGACAGGCAGTATTTTAAACAGGAAAATGTATTATCATATACCAACTCCCACATGTACTAATAACAAAAAAGAAAACCTCAGTTACTCTCTACCGGGGAAAATTAAAATATGTAGTAAAATAGGTTTCAAACAGCAGTCACTGGGGGCCAGGGATTTTTAGCTCAGCGGCAAAGTATCTGCCTGGCAAGCACAAGGTGCTGAGTGTGAGCCTCAGCACCAAAAAAAAACCCCAGTAGTCAACATGATTTGGCACAGACGGGCATTGCTCTACTGAGGCCAGGGGTGAGCAAGCGGCCACCCCGGGAGACAGGAAAACACAGGCAGCGGCCGGAACCCTCCGTTCCCTGCAGCATGTCCTCCGAGGCCCCGGGCCCCTCGGGGAGTTTCCTCAGGCGGCTGCATAAGCCCAGGCCCCCGAGGGCAGGCGAGTTACTGCCGCAGCGCTGCCCTTGAGCAGCCAGCCGGCGGTGGTGGAGGGGGAGCATTAGCCACTAGGCAGCCCTGCTTCACCACCTCAAGTGTCCCATTCACATGAGGCCACGCGTTCTTCTGAGACCTTCCAACTACACGAATGGCGAAAGCGCCCCCTACTTCTACCCTGACCCAGGTTTTCGGCTCCAACTGGTTGCTGGAGCACATGGTTCTGGGCTGGCTTTGGTCTAGCATATGTCTGAGCTGCAATATGTGGGGACCTACTCTGTGGTGCCAGTTTCTGGCCCACTTCTCTCTGACCCATAAACACTCCTGCCTGAAGAGGGCAACAGACCTGCCGTGTGTGTGTGTGTGTGTGTGTGTGTGTGTGCACTGCAATGTGGTCCCCAGCATAGCCCGACCTTACCTGCCAGCACTGCCACTGCCACCGTCATCATCACCGCCTTCTGGATCGCTGTGCTGCTCCAGGCCACCCACAGCTCTGGGCAGCGGCAGCTGCTGCTGCTGCTGCTCCTGCTGATCAGGGACAGCAAGGTCCCCCTCACCACACCCCAGGGTGCTGGCCACACACTTCTCCTTGTCCACAGTGGGGGCACTGAGGAAAGATAGACAGCTGTGGCGGGGACGCCCTGGCTCATCACCTGCATGCCAGTCGCCGCCACCCACCCAGGCACAGGAGAGGAGCCTGGCAGTGGCCTCCTCTAGAGGACTCCAGGACCACTGCGCTCTTGTCCCCGCAAACAGCCAAGTATAGCACACCTAAGACTGCAGGACAGTGTCAAGAGTTATCTTCCAGCTGGGGCACTCCAGCACGCTCCTGCTCCTCTCCTAACTGTCATCCCTCCCTCCCCTAACCCTCCCCCATCCACACGCTTTCTCCAAAACCACCTCCACTGCCTCACTTTCAAGGGACTTGGGATGACCTGTGCACACAGCCCAATGGAGACCAGGAAGAGCAGTGACAGCCTGGGAGAGGCCGGCCCATGTTGGATCCCCCAGTCCCCGAAGTCTGGTTTCAGGGCAGCCTAGCGGAGGGTCCCGTTTCCACTTCCCAGAGCACTGGGAAATGAGTGTGCTCCTTCCCTTCCCTCAGCCAGCATTCTGCACAAACTGCTCCTGCTCCTCGAGTCAGCTGCGCTGGTGCCTTCCCGCCCCTGCTCTGTACAGCAGAGACACTGTCACAGTGCAGCCTGGAGCCCCTTCCCACCTTGTGCAGCCAGGTGAGTCACCCCATCTTGGGCCGGGATATCATGGTGTAGGGACAGGGGTCACAGGTGCAAAAGGGAAAAAATGGGCTGTCATGACACTTCAGTAAACAAATGAACAGAGCATCTTACACAAGTGGTTTTCTGCCTCAGTAGTCAGACTCCAGCTACTAGAAAGACAAAGGGAGAGACAGACAGAAACCCACACAGGAAGGCACTGGTAACACAATGAACAGAAGAATGTCGCAAGCATAATCGACAGCACAATAGGCAGGTGGCCAGGAACATGAAGGAGCAGGGCAGGCAGCCTCCGCCAAAGCCACTGGCTGGCTGGAAAGGAGGTAAGGAAGAGCCACCCAAGGGTTCTTGCTTAACATGCAAAGCACACAGGTCCCCTTGGCTTAATCACAAACTCTAAGCTACCTTCCCCATGACAACGGGCCAGGAAGAACACAGAGGTGCCCGGGTGAGGGTCAAAGATAGCCAGAGAGCCAACCAGATGGCAACAACACCCAGGCACCCACATGGGAGATGGGACTGTTCCTAAATAAAAAGGACCCAAAGACACCAGCACACGGGTATTCACTTTCTGATGCGCCCTTCCCTTCCAGAGTAGCTATCCTCTTTCTCAGTCCTTTCCCAAATAAACCATCTTCTTCCATTTCCAACTCTGCCCTCTAATTCCTTCCTGAAGCTGACAGTGTATGCTGCTGGTGGAAGCCTGCTAGCTGCACTGCAGCACAGCAGCAGTGTGGCGTGGTGTCACTGTGAAGGCACCAGCTGACACCAAAGTGACACTAGGAATGGCTATCAATGCGGCTACTCTGTAGGGCATCACAGACTGTGGCAGGGACAGATGGCTGGTGCAGCACCCTTAACATGTCCCAGACTTACCCTCTTGCCCCTCTTTGGCTATCTCAGTGAATCATGATGCCAATTTTGGAGGTGAACCATATAGCAGGAGACAGAGAATCGGTGCATTCACCTGTTTTAATCATTTGGTGGTTTTCAGGGCTGAGAAAGATGGCTTGGGACCCGCTGAGCATGGGATGGTGGCAGGGTCCCTAGCACCCAGTGGGAGCACACCCCTTGAGCCTGTCTCTGCCATCGGCGGTTTCCCCTTGCTCCTAGGGAGTCTTGAGCTGGAAACCATGGTGAGTTGCCACTGGGAGGGCAGCCGAGCACCCGTTTCCTACTTTCTCCTTTGCTGTGATCACACTACAGACAGGCTTCTTTCCTCCCACGGGCCCCTGAACTGTGGCTCGCTGCTGCTTATGCTGCCTATGTAAGCATTAAAATGCAAACACACACCCCTCTGCACTTTTAAATTGCTTTCTCCAGTCTGAGCAGAATACTCTTGAATGGAAGTCTTCTTGACTGTTTCTGAGCAAAGCCTCATTAACCTTTGGCTTCTTCTGTTGAGCAGTATTTTTTTTCTGGATGTTTTCAGTTTAAGAGCCGAGCTCCCTGCACAGAAACACCCTTATCTCTTCTCAGGTAGGGATTTACTAATTTTTGAGTTCTGGAGAGCATTTATTGTCCTTCTTGATTCCTTGCCTAGGGGTTGCATCAGGCAGTGCTAGCAAACCTACAGCTTGTGTGCCACAGTGAGCTGTCTGTTATCACTGAAAACTCTAGACGGTTTATCACCAGCCTTCGGTAAGACCACCAGCTTCTCAGTGGTGACTGCAGAGAGATGCCCTTTAGCTCCCAGACCACCATTATGTACAGAACTTTATAGAAAGAAGTTGTTCCTACCTGGCTCCTTCATCTACTTGCTGCTTTTCTCCCACGGGGATCGCTCAATCTGCAGGTGTTCCTTCTCCCCATCTCCTGCTGCTACAGTTTATTATGGGATGCCCTCCTGAAGCCTCATGTGCTCATAGGTGAGGCTCTGGAGAGGTGCTCAGGTCCTGTGTGTGACCCCCAGCAGTGGACCAGTTCACCGAAGGGCTTACAAACGCTAGATGTGATGCAGAGAGGTGAAGACCAGTGGGCGTGGCCCTGGAGGGTCTGTCTCCCTCCTCCTCCCTTGATCCCTCTCTGTTCCCTGCCTGCCATGCCATGAGCTACTCCCTCTGAGCCACTCCCTCCTGCATGCTGCCCTGCTTTGGAGCCAGCTGGCTATGAACTGAAGCCTCTGCACACTGTGAGCCAAAATAACCCTCTCCACAGCCTGGCTCCTCTAAGAGATGCCCTTCCCCTTTCCTCCTCCCTCTTTTCACCATTATGGACCTTCCTTGCAGTGACTTGAACCTTTCATCTGTCTCCCTCCAATACCTCTTCCTCCCTGCACCACCCCTGTGGGCCTCTCAATGGCAACAGCCACTAGAGTTTGCAGCTTCCTGACCCACTGAGGGCTTGTCAGGGGTGAAGGAACCCAAAAACCATCAGCAGAAGCTGAAGCTGACCAGAGACAATGGGTGTGGTACCCGCTTAGATGGGCACCCAAGCCCCCCAGAGGTCTGCATGGTGCCTCTGGGGCGCTCTCCCCACACGTGGTCAGCAGTATCCATGAGGCTGTACCTGAGGCCAGGGGAAACCTGAAGTGTCCTCTGCCAGGACAGGGGACTCGGGCCATACGTTTAAATGCTAAATTAACAAATATTCATTCATACCTAAATCCCTTTTTTTTTTGTTTGTCTTTTTGAGACAGGGTCTCACTATGCAGTTGAGACAGGTCTTGAACTCACTTTGTAGCCCAGGCTGGCCTTGAACTGCCAACAATCCTCCTGCCTCAGCCTCCCAAGTGCTAGGATTACAGGCATGAGCCACCACGCCTGGCTCTAAATCATTTACAAGTAGGGTAAAATACTTACTTTTACTCATCTAAAATTTACACAAGGGCTGATCAAAATGTATGGTGTGTGCTTAAATCTTTACAGTAGAAGACCCGTGGCCACGCATTTGCCTCACAATGCTGCCTCTCACGTCAGACATGTGCCAGTTTTGGAAGCATCTCTGGAAGTCCTCTTTCATGAGTGTCTTTATGAGGCATGATCAAAAATATGGTGAATGCCGCTGAAAGTGCCACCCAGTGGAAAAGAAAGGCAGGTTCATGAACACATGACGTGGTGCCTGCATCCACCTTCTTCACGGGGTCTGGCACCATGCAGCTTCCGACTCTCCCAAAGTTGCAATGGTCATGCAAGGGGAATGTTTTGAATCCCTTCAGGACATTGAGACAGCCATAGCAGCACAATGCAGGACACTCAGATAAAACGACTCCAGAGCTGTTGCAGAAAGTGGCGAGAATGATGAGACAAGTGTTTTTGAAGCCTGGGGGAATACTGTGTGGAGAATGGATGACAACACGTCTTTCACTATAACACATTTAAAATATTTAAATATTTATAGAAGTTTTATCATAACTCAACTATTTTTGCCCCTCATTTTATATGGTATAAAGAAGCTACACTTGGATCTATGAATAAGTATGTCCATTTGTCTACAGATGAACTGACAATCATAGCATGTCACTGTAAAAGTTATGGGATGTAAAAAACAAAAAGTTATGGGATATATACTCATATGCTTTACTAGTGTGCCACAAAGGACAGCGTCTGACAGCTCGAATCTACCTGCCTCTGGACAAACACAGTTGGCAGAAACAGTGTCCACACTTCAGGAAAAGAAAAACGTGTGCAAATATTTTAATATGCTTATCTGTGGGGGACTCCAGAGAATGCCGTGCATCACAGAAAACCCCTACACTGCTGACCCTCGGAGAAGCAAGTGGAAATGCACGCGCACCAATCTCAGTGACCAAGGTGAGCGACCCACACAGCAGTTCACCGTCCTAATCGATGTCTGCAAGTTCGTGGCCACCACTCTGGGCAGCTCTTGTCATTGTAGAGGCCAAAGGGAGCTTGCATTAATCTCACGATGTCTCCATAAATGACATATTAAAGTAGTTACGTGACATTTTCTTTTCCTATCTCAAAAACATCAGACACCCTCCCCCCAAATTTAAAGACCCAATCCAACAATGAGTATCTGAAATGGACAGAGACTATTCTGATAAAGAAATAGAAACAGCAAATAAATATATGAAAAAATGTTTGGCATCATTGGTCATTGGAGAGATGCAAATTAAGACCACACTGAGAAACCAGCTGACCCCAGAAAGAAAGGCTACTACCAAGAAATCCACCAGTAACAAATGCTGGCTTCTCTACTGTTAGTGGGAGTGCAGACTGGTGCCATCCTTAAAAAACTAGGACTGGGGCCAGGGATTTAGCTCAGCAGCATAAGCACCTGCCTTGAAAGTTTGAGGTCGTGAGTTCAATTCCCAGTACCAAAAACAAACAAACAAACGAACAAAACCACTAGGATTGGAGGTCCCAGTGGATCCACGTATTTCCCTTCTTGTTATTCACATGGAAGAATTAAAAGCATCACACCACAGTGACATGTGCACCCCCCATGTTTACAGCAGCAATAAAACAGCCAAATCTTGTAAACAGTCCAAATGCCCATCAACTGTGACTGGATGAAGATTCCAGTTTTGTTAATACAACGGAGCGCTGCTCAGCCATGAAGGATAAACTTGAGACATCACAGGTCAATGGATGCACCTAGAGACTACACGCTTAAGCAAAATAAACTGGACACACGTGTAAATACTGCATCATTTCTCTGCTGTGCGAAACCAGAAGTATAAATAAGGATCAAAACAGGTATTTGAAATGGGAAGAAAATGTTCACATGTGGAGGGGAACAAGGGAAGTTGGAGTGGAAAAGGCAGAAGGGAGTGGTAAAAAATGAGAAAAAAAAGGAAAAAACGGAGGAGAGGTGGGTTTGAAGGAAGGGAAGGGGAATCTGGAAAAAAAAGAAACAACTTATACTCTGTACAGGTACAAATTCTCTGTGATGAATGTCACGGTTATATTTATCTAAAATGTCCCAATCAAATCTGATTAGAAGACAAACATTTTGTTTTCCTGAAGTGTATATACATTTTGGTGGGCTCTGTAAACATTATTAGTGGTTAAAATTATATTCAATTATATAAATGAGATTGCTATAAATAGTAATACAACAGGGAAATAACACTATCCCAGGTATGCAATACATATTTTTGTGAAAAAGGGCAACTTTGTTCTAAATTTAAATAGGTTAAAGTATGTAAGACAAAATGTAAATGCATAATTTTTAAATTATGAGTTTTACAACAAAAGAAATTTATGTTTAAAACTAAAATTTACTGGGCATACAGGATTTGCTTTTTAAAAGAGCTACAGTACCAAATATTTTACCGATGCATATTTACAATTTGGTTTTCTCTGTTAACCAATTTTCTTGGCTGACTGGCCGTTTTTGTAGTGGTATTCAAAACTAGGCCCCGCACTTGCCAGGCAAGTGCTTATGCTGCTGAGCTGTAACTCTAGCACGGCCTGCTCTTCAAAGAGTATAGTATTTCCTTCTGAGTAAGCTATCTTAAATTCAAAGATTGTATATGTTTTTAAGTAATATCCTTTCTTTTATATTGCCTTTATTATGTCCTTAATTACTTTTTTAGACTTTTCAATTTTAAAGTTGCTAAGATTCTTCATAATAATTTTAACTTACACTTACCTTAAAATTTTTGTTACTTTTATCCAACATATAACTAAATATTATTTCTCATTATTCCATAATCCTATTTAATCAAATGTTTCCAACCTCCTGACATTTTACTTTCCTAAAATCAAATTGGGAACATATTTACAACTAAAACTGACTAAGATCTCTCAGATCTGAACAACTCCAAAGGATTTGTTCTCTCATCTTGCAATGAGAGAGACAGAGAGACAGAGCGAGAGAAAGCGTGACAGAGAGAGAGATGGATGCTGAAAACAATCAGGTTTATTCAATACTGTATAAACTGCATTGTCAAATCCAAACATACTAAGCCTTCCTTAAAGGATTATGTTTAGCGGGGCATGGTGGTGTGCGCCTGTCACCCCGGTACTCGGGAGGCTGAGGCAGGAGGATTGCCGTGAGTTTGAGGCCAGCCTGGGTCACACAGTGAGGACCTACCTCAAAATAGACACAAAAAATTAATTTTAATGAGTAAAACATTATTTATATAAATATTTGAGAAGTTATATACAATTACCAAGTCACTGCCCAGGCTGTTTCTAGCTACTGGAAATCTGCGGCTGCTTGACCTGATACTAGACTACAACCCAATGCTTCCAGCAGTAATTGCAACCGTTTTCGCAGGGTTAAGTTGTGTATGAGTTTACTTCTTTAAAGAAGTACAAATGGCCACTAAGTACATGGAAAGTGCTCAGCATTTCTGGCCATTAGGGGAATGCAAATTAAAACATCACTGAGGTTTCATCTCACTCCATGAAGAATGGCCACCATCAGCAAGAACTCAATAAACTTTAGCTGGGCGTGGTAGCACAGGCCTGTAATCCCTGCACCCAGGAGGCTGAGGCAGAAGGATCTCCCCAAGTTGGAGGCCACCCTGGGCTACATAGTCAGTTCAAGTCCAACCTGGACCACATAGTGAGTCCCTGTCTAAAACAAAAGAAAACAAAGCTTAAACAAAAGTCCACAACTCAATAAATAACAATCATTGGTGAGCCTTTGGGGAAGGGGGTTGGCATCCTTCCACATTGTGAGGGGTAGTGTAAACCAGTACAACCAGTGTGGAGAGTTCTCAAGAGACTAACATTAGGAATTCCTCTCAGCCCAGCCAGCCCCTTCTAGGTGTCTTGGCTGGAGAGTCGAAGATACTGTATCACAGTGATGTATGCATCCCCACGTTTCTAGCAGCAGAACCCCTAAGTGGCCTATATGTCCCCAAACGGGCGAGCAGATAGAGAGCGTCCTATCACACAGAATGGACACTAGCGAAGCTAATCAGCCATAGCCAGGGTACATCTCGGTCACTCTCAGGAAAATGGGCACCTTTAGACCGGAATGCTGAGTGAAATGAACTGGACACACGAGCTCAAATACTGCATGACTTCTCTCACAGGAGAAACCGGAGCATGAATAGAGAGAGGTAACAGGAAAGGTGGAGATGCATGTTTTCCCAAGCGGAAGGGGGCTACAGATGGGGAGGGGCACAGACAAATTCCCTATGATGAGTGTAGCCCTGACGCACTGCCAGCATCTGCTTCCGCTATTACTAATAACAAGACCTTTCTTTCTTTGTGTCACACCCAGGCGATGCGGGCATAAGGAATTCCGCTAGTACAACCCACATGTTCATGGCCTTTCCCTACGGCCACCTTGGTCCTGTCCGGCTGCCAGACCTTGTGGCATCTAAACCCTCTGCCACCACTGCTGATGAAATTTTATTAGAATGAGAATCCCCACACAGGGACACCTCGGGAAACAAAACATCCCATAAGCTCTTCTTTTAACCTCCAAATTCCATATCCTCACTGGTCTGAAAGGACACACCTACTAAGCTGACAAAGGCTGCTAAACAGATGCAAAACAATGCCCCCATGCCCAAGGATTAGCACTCTTTCTCCCGGGCACACCAGCTGTCCCCATCAGAAGTGAGTGCCCGTGCCTGGGAACTTCCTGTCCTGTCTGGGCTTGCAGAGTTTTGAGCCTGGTCATGTCAGGCATTCTAAATTTCCTCCCAGGGTTGTCCTCTCTCTCCTTGCAAACAGCTAGCTGAAGCAGAGCGGCCAGGTGGCTCTCTTCCTGGTGCAGGCAGAGGGCTATGGCACTGCCTGAACTCAAGCATCAGTAGCGAGCTGCAACCCACAAAGCCCAGCACAGATGCAAGGACAATGACATGATTGGGGCTAGGTCACTCAGGCTCCCTCTGCCAAGACTCTCCCATACTTTCGGCCTTCCAGAGGCAATCAGGTGTCTGCATAAACCACATGGTTGTAAACAGGATCTGAGCAAAACCAAGCTGATTTCCTTGCAGTCAGGAAGAAACCTTGGGCATGATGGTTCCTTCTACATCACATTTAACAGGTTGATCACTCTTGGGGCCTGCTCACCTCACCCACCCGGGGCCCAGGCCATTGCCCTTTCAATGGCTCTCCTGGCCAGTCACACTGTGAGCCTCGCTGCTGATTCTGAGGCTCACGGAGGCATCCAGCACACAAACCCCAAGTGCCCTGGACCCTCAGGGGACAACTCCCAGCCAGGCTGCCTTAAGCCCCTCACCCTGCCTGGTAGGAGCTCCACGAGAGGCTTCTCCCCGCCAACCTCCAGCACACCGGTCTGGCCAAGGGCCTTGCCAGCCTTCGTGACCCTGGCTGACTGTCCTCCCTCTCTGCTCCGAGCCTGGCCCCGGCATGGGCAGCCGTGCAGTTGTCAGAGCCCAGGACGGCTCCTGCAGTGTCCCAGACCAGGTCCTCAAAGCGCTGGTTTGCGGAGGACACTGCTGAGCTGGCCCACCAACATCCTCCTGGTGGCTGGGGTGTGCTGAGGCAGCCTGGCTTTGAAGCACACCTTTGCAATTCACCACAGGAGCTTTATGGTCACCTCCTCCTGGTGTGCACGGATCAGGTCCCCATCCCTTTCCAGCATGTAACCCCTTCCTCTCCCTGACCTCCTGCAGGCTGCCCACCCTGGCCCAGGCCAGTGGGTGCCCCTCCCTCGGGGCTATAGTCCCCGACTACACCCAGCATGCCCGACCTTACCTGCCACCACTGCCACGGCCATCGCCACCGCCTTCCAGCTCCCTGTGCTGCTCCGGGCCACCCACAGCTCTGGGCTGTGGCTGCTGCTGCTGCTGCTGCTGCTGCTTCGAGGAGACAGCTGGGTCCCCCTTGCCACACCCCAGGGCATCAGCCACATGCTTTTCCTCATCCGCGGTAGGGAAACTGAGGAAGGATGGACATTTGTGGAGGGGGCGCCTAGGCTCACGGCCTACATGCCGGCCGCCACCACCCACCCAGGCACAGGAGAGGAGCTAGGCGCCCTCCTCCAGAGGACCCGGCAAGCAGGGTCTCCCCCAGCTCAGGGACAGTGCCCCCTCCACCGGCCTCACATGCAGCTGGTGTCAGGGGAGAGAAAGGAGGGGCTGATGGCCTGCGCCACACCTGTGCATCCCTTTGGCCCTGGATACACGGCCCTGCCTCCAGGCACGACCAGGCCTGGCGCACCGTGAACTCGAGTTTCCAGCACCCAACTTCCCCGAAGTTGTCCCTTCTGGTGTAACTGGACCAAAGATCTATCAGCAATCCTGACCTCTATACAGGAGTAAGGACAGCCCTTTCCCCTCGCACGACCTCCAGGAGCGTCCTGCGTGGCTTGACCACAGTGGTCACCGGTTTGCATCATGGTAGAAATACACACGCGCTTCACGCAGGACCAAGACCAACCTGAAACCCCCACCCGCGCCGCACAGCAAAAAGGCAGAGCTCCGTGGGAAGCTGAGATACCGGGCATTATGGAATGGAGGCCGCTTTCGGAGGACTCCTGCACGGCTGCAGGAGCTCAGCCTCCGAAACTGTTCTCTGCAGCTGGAAGGTTTCGCGAAACCCGCGTGCGACGCGTGGCCTGTGACGCCGGGCCCTTCCACGCCCTAAAAAGCGGGCGCCGGAGGTACTGCTGCCCTGCAGTGAGGAAACTGAGGCACGGGGCAGATGAGCGACCCGGATCTGAACCCCATGGCGGCAATCCACTGTCCCAGGCTGGCTCCCCCGCGTGGGCATGGGACGGGACTGCGCACGAGCTAGCAACAAACTAATAAGGGCTCCACGTCCACCCCTCATCAAAGCCCTGGGAGCTGAGCCCCATGACAGACCCCACACCCCTTGTGAGCATCTCCCCTACCCGCTCCCCACACCACCCCGACTTCCGGACTGTCCGGGTCACCCCAAACAGAGCCGGCTGGCTCTCGTGGAGAACCACGCTGTGGGGGAAGGGCAGCCCGCGGGGTGGGAGCCAGAAGCGCAGCGGGGCCCATTTGCGATCCTCTAGCGCCACCTCGCGGCCGTCGCGGGCACGACCTCAGGAGAAATCCCGCCGAGGCCGGTCTCTCCGCAGACGGCCATTTTGCCCAGGAGAAGGTCGCATTTCCCGGCAGGCTGTGCGGCCTGAGCTCCCGGAGTCAGGAAATGGCGGCATGCGCAGGCGCACTCACCAGGGCGGCACACAGGCGTGGGCGCGAGCCAGCCTGGTGCGCAAGCGCACACACGCTGGTCACGTGTTTCCCCAAGGCGCAGGCGCAGAAGGATGCGGCCCCCGCTGTGACCGGGAAGCGCACACTCGCAGGCGCGCACGTTCTGTTTAGCAGCTATATTCTGGGACAGCCTGGGAGAGCGAGCCTCTCCGCCCCTCTTTAATTCTTTTCCAGCCCCAGGCCGTGTTCCCAGGGAGATCGAGGGTGCTCTAGGGCAGACGTTGTTACAGTTTCTGCCAGATAATTTCTGTTTTGTGGGTTGGGGGATGAGGTGCTGTGTTGTGCAGTGTAGAATGTTTAGCAGCATTCCTGGTCTCTATCCTTTAGAAACCCAATAGTGGCGATCAAAAATGTCCAGATAGTGTTAGATGCCTCGCTACGGTGGGGCGTGGTCCAAGAGTCCTCCAGTTCATAACTACTACCTTGGTATGGTGCTTGACATAGACTGGGGAAGAAATGAAATGGATGCTTTTAAAAACACAACCACAGTGGACGCTCATCCTAAGACAATCAAATCCAAATCTACGTGGGGCTCAGGAAGTGTTTTTTAATAATTCTAGGTGCTCTCGAGTGCACTAACTTTGAAACACTCATCATGAAATTTGTATACTTTTAATCCGAGGAAAATACTCCTGAATCTAGGCCCCAAATCGGCCAAATCCATACTTTACTCGTACTTCTGCCCTGCCAAGAGTGTGGCCCTCAATTTCCACTTCTGCTTGACTCTTTCCAGGGTTTGGGGCAGATTACATGAGGCCACACAGCATGCTTTATACACCAATGAACTGGAAGCTACCGTTTCTAGGTCTTGAGAGTATGCTCCAAAAAACAAAAGAAAAAAGAAAAAAACACAAGCTAGCTTTTGTAATTTCTGCTGTTTTTCTTTGGGCCCCTTTGGTACTGAGCTCTGCTACTTGGTCTTGGCTAAGCCATTTGTCTCTTCTATGCTTGCCCCACTTGCTGGGAAGACTGTAAAGTGCCTAACTAAGCACAGCACGCTGTAACTGTCAGCTCTGGCTTTCGCTCTGTTAACCGTCAGTGCAACTTGAAACAGAGAGGGCACATGAGGCCTCATTCCTTAGAGATCCACTTCCCACCCCAGTCCGCTTGACCCCACACCTGCATCTTAAGTAAGAAAGTAACAAACACGGAACATGAAAATACAAACATGCATTCACTCTGAAACAACTAAATCACATCAGGTCCCTTGCCTTAAAATCCAAATAAGACCCAATGTTCTTACAGGCTCCCTCTCACTAGGGAAGCCCCTTGCACTCTGCTTGCAATTGCCCCCTCCATCTCCCTAAGTGGGTGGCCTTCTCGCTGACATCTGTATTTCAGCACCCTGGCTGTTTTCTACAAGGTACTGTCCTTCCCAAGAGGCACGGACACCTGGCTTCTGAGTGTTTGCTTATCATTCTAAGAGGTATGCATAAGGCGCTGGGGATTTAGCTCAGCGGCATAAGCGCCTGCCTTGCAAGCAGGCAGTCATGAATTTGATCCCTGGTACCAATAAAAAAAAAGTTTTAAGAGGTATACATAGCAGATGGCCCTACGTTACACTGTCGTTGTGATCACTAACACAATCATAAGACAAAAGGCCAAGCGGCCCTACCTGTTTCGGCAAGCCTCTTCGCCCAGCGCACTCCCACTGAGGACCCTCCCTGTGGGCCCCACTCAGCTTTGTACACTGCCTAGGAAGCACTAGGGCCTTTTGAGGTCTTCATATACTGTATCAGCTCCTCTTGGGGACTCCTATTCAGCTGTCACAATATAACTGCTATTCAGCTACCACCTCTCCCCTCAGTTGTACTCAGCCCCACCTTCTCTGCTCTAGCCCTGATGTGTGGTCCCAACCTGAGCTGTGCTTTGTCCCCATTCCAGCCTGAGAGTGCCTCAAAGGCAAAGCCATGCCTGGTTTGTCTGCATCTTCCCAGTGCTTGTTGATTGAAAGTGTGAGCTTTCCCCATCATGGAGTACTTCCCGGCAGGATTTTGCAAAAATCTCTCAGCCCCAGAGGCAGAGGTCAGAGGGTCCCAGCTGGGGCTTGTATCCCTGCTGTGTGCCCCAGTGCAGCTGACAGCCCTGGCTGACCTCGCATCCCTACCCAAAGGCCGGTGCACACCCGGCACTTCTGCCCACCTCAGAAGCTCAACACTGTACACTGTGCCTTACCCTCTGGGGTCTGCCTTTGTGTCTTCCGGGTCTGCCGCAATGTCACTCTTCCTGTCAGCCAGGATGGCAGGGGCTGAAGTAGTGCTGGAGCTGGGACCGGAAGCACATAGGCCTGTGAAGCCCTGGCCCAGAGGAAGCTGCGGGCTGGGCTCTTCCCTTTCCAGCTGCCTTCTCACAGGGAACAGGGCATGTGTTTGCCATGAAAGTGGCTTCTCCGTTGTGCCCCTGGGGCCATCTGTCCTTCCCAGCCATGCACTTCCTGGAATCAAGTCCTCTAGTGTTGACTGGCTGTCCCCAGGGTCCCTCACTCTGACCCGTGGCCCATCAGCTTGAGTCCACATCCGTTTCTACTCGGTGGTCGGGTTTAACAGACTTATCATCTGTCCCTCTTCCCCCCTGTCCCCAGTGGGTGGGGACAGCTCCAGGTCAGGACCCTCCTGGATCTCCCTGTCCAATTTTGACCACAGGATGTGAAGAGTGCATGGATCTGAGGAGTTTGCTGGGTCCCAGGGACTGGAGCTGAGGCCGAGCCCTAAAGACCATGCCCAGGATGAGGATTGGTCACTGGGGCAGTCGCCCCACCCTTACCTGATGGCCGCTGGCTCAGGCTTGCAGGGGTGAGGGCTGGCACCACACGCATCCTGGTCATCCAGCAGAGGGGTGAGGCTAGCAGCTGGGCCCAGCCTGTGGAAGGAGGCCAAGCCTGGTCCAGGTTCAGGACTTTGTGTCTGTCTGTCTACCCTTTCCTGACCAATGATGGGGTGTGAGACTTGTACCCCAAGACAGCCTGGCACCTGGGCCAGTGTGGCAGAGTGGCTGAGTGGGTGAGACTCCCTAGACTCCAGTAGCAGCTGTGAGACCCTGGGGCGCGAGCTGACCACTGTGGGCCTCAGTGAGCAGCAGTGTACTGAGAAGGGTACGTGAATTTGTAACCAAGGCTCTGAATAATGCCTAGGTGTTCCATGTTCCCATCCTTACTGGGCCCAAGGCCTTCTGTACCCCCAGCTGTTCAGCTGGGACAGGGCTCTCCTGGCCCAGGATCCCCCTAAAACAGGCCCACTGATACCCACAAGGTGCCATGTGGCCAGACAGGCCATGGCCTACACTCAGGTGGACACTTTCTCTGGGCTGCTCACCTGTTCCCTAGGAACCCTCAGCACTGAGCTCAACTGCCACGAAAGCTCAAGGAAACAAGTGGAAAGGAAGGTGTCCCTGAGACACAACCCACACTTTGGATGGACAGTAAGAAGTTTCTTACAAATCAGTGTCAACACGCCTGTAATCCCAGCACTTTGGAGGCTGAGGCAGGAAGGTCGCTGCAAGTTTGAGACCAGCCTGGCTACACAGTGAGCTCAAAGCCACCTGAACTGCATAGTGAGACCTTGTCTCAAAAAGACAAAAAAATCCCCCAAACCCAAATCACTGTCAAACTCTCCAAATCGGCTGAGAAAGTGATCTCTGGCTCCACCCATAAACCCAGAGCAAAGAGCAGGAGGGACAAGCCTCGAGGCTGGACCTCAGCACTCAGCACCTCTGGAGTACAAATGCACTAAGTTTAGCTGTCGTTTGGTCACTTGGTCATTAGTTTGTCCCTTGTGCATTCTCCAACACGCTCACTCTACCTGCCTGGGGCCAGCCTTAGGAATGGTGGGCCTCCCACTGTGAGTGGGCCCAGTGCTGGCACTGCAGGACCTTAAGAACCCGTGGCCACCGGGCTGGGGGTAGAAGGGGCAAGAGCGGAGCAGGCAGCGGGCTCGGTGAAGAGAGGGCGTGTGGGAGAAGCAGTAGACGGGTGCCCCGGCAGTGACCAGGGCTGTACTCCCAGCACCCCTTGCAGTTGGGCACCTTACACCTGGCCTGTCACCAGGGAGGTGAGAGACCCAGTGTACCACCAGCAGCTCACCCTCCTCTCTCCGAGCCAGTGCCTGCTGCAGCCAAGCCTTTCGGTGGGGACCCTGCGACTTCCAATCCCACGGGACCACTGCTCGGCTGTGGATCTGACCTGTTACGGGAAGAGAAGTGTTCACTAACTCTTTGTTTTATTTTCTTTCTTTTTTCCTGCAGTGCTTGGGACTGGACTCAGGGCTTCCTGCAGGCGGGGCAAACACGGCACCCCTAAGCCAGGGCCCGCTCTTTGTGTAGTCTGATCAGGCTTTGACTTTGATCTGACTTTGACATTCAGAAAGCAAGCCCTTCCTGTCACTGCTGCCCGGCACTGCTCTGCCTGAAACCCAGCCTGGCCAAGGTGACTCAAGTCTCTGGGGACTGCTTCCAGCCTGACTGGGGAGGAGTGAGTGGGGGGTGCAGGAGAGGTGAGCACCACAGGGGCTGGTGGCCAGCGGACGGAGAAGTAAGGCATCCCAGGCTGCAGACCAGCTGCAGAGAGCGCCGACAGCACCCCCAACACCCATCTGGGGACCCCCCTTCACTCCCAAGGGCTCCCATGGGCTGCAGTATGTTCCCGGCTGCTGGATTCCCACGGAGGAAGCACCCCCCTTGCAAGCACTGCTCATGCCCAGGGCCTCCTCAGTCCGGGACAGGCTGGGGTGGGGGGAGCTGTAGAATAACCAAGGACAGCTGCCCCTCTGCACTCACTATCCCTGCCCCCACCCCCTCAACTGTCTCCCTTGGTCCGTAGAGAAAGTTCCTGCTCTCTGCTCCATGGAGGAGGCCCACATTTTTTTTCTCACTGAATTCCCTAAACTGCCAACTTGGTGGCCTTGCTTTGAAAACCGTTGGCACAACTGCTTGGCCCTGGAGTAAAAGCAGAGTGGGCGGGTGTCTGAGTGGGTGTAGAAGCTTCCAGTGAGTGGAAGGAACCAGCCAGGGCCAAGCGCCGGGGGGAGTGGCCTCCCTGGGAGCTTGGTCCTGCTCTACAGTTGGCCACCTGGGGACCTTGCAGGCCCTGCTCATTCATTCCTAACAAATGTTCCCTGGTGCCAGTGCCATCCATCGACCTTGGGCCAGGAGGACCTCAGGACTGGTGTGCGCCAGAGACAGAGCTGCTTCTCTGCAGGGAGTTATTTACCTTTCAGAGTCTGCCTCGAGGCCCCTGAAGGTCTCCTCAGCAATGGAGTTTCTCTTGATCTCTCTGGAGCACGGTGCCTCCTTGTCCTTGTGAACTGGAGAAGGCCTGTGGAGGAAAGAAATGGAAGCTAACCATGCAGTGGCCACCTGTACCCAGCTGTTACCAAGCAGATTAAACCCTGCCACTGACTGATGGGCTGGTTCACCAAACCTGGATCCTAACCGGGAGCCGGTCCTGCTCGCGTGGCTTTACATGTGAGAAGAGGAGCCAGGATTTGAACCCGAGGCACTCTGACTTGGTGGCTCTTGATTATATTCCTTCACAGTGGATGCCTAACTGTAACCTCCGAACTCAGGTCTGTCTATTTCCTCTGAAATCATCTGGGGCCCCGAGTTGTCAACTCCATCAGCGACAGTCCTAGTCTATCACTGCCCCACACTGCCATCAGTAGCCACTAAGTGGCCCCTCCCTGCTGCTTGCCACCTCTCCTCCCCGGCCACACGTTCCCAACCTCTGGCATCTTTCTGTCCATTTCTGCTCCATGTCCCTCCCTGTCTGCGCTCCACAACCTGCTGGGCTGCCTGTTCCCCAGGGCAGGACACGGCCCTCTGTACCCTCCTGCTCCTAAGCAGGGCGCTTGGAGGCTGATCCAGGGGCCTTCAGCCACTACCGGTGGCCTCCACACACAAGCAATGCAACTGCTCCGGTGGCTACAAAGACCCAGTGTCTCCACTCACCACAGCTGGCCAGTGCTGTCACTTTCCATGAGCTCACAGCACATGAGCAGGCCAACATCTAAGGCTCAGGAGGTCCCAGCTCAGAGCTACAGCCTCACCGGGACCAAGTACTCATTTCATGACGATTGCTACGTTAAGGAATGAGACAGTCATGTGGCCCCTCCAACTGCCGACCTAGCAGGCACGCAGGGCAAGAACATGGGAACCCTGACTTCTCTGCCCCTGGCTCTAGATGCTGTGGCCAGGAGCAGGGACAAGCGCCCTGTGCCTTCTAGGTCTGGGGCCACCAAGAGGACCTGCCCTGGGTGTGGTGATCGGAAGGCCCAAGGAGAGAGCAGAGGCGCTGGGGGGAGAACCCGCTGCTTCTCCACCAGTGCTGGCCACATGAGGATGTGCGCCTATGGGTGCCTCCAGCTTGAACCATCGCCCCCCCCCCCACTTTACATCTGCTCTCATCTCCTTGGGCCTCAAGCCTTCGCGGCACCGCAGCTGAGCTCAGGCACTGAGCCGCTGGCCACAGGGGAAGGGGAGTGAAGGGCCCTTCCCCAGTCTTCTATCAGGACCCAGCCCAGCCCTCCCTCAGCTCAGCAAGGGGCCCTCCGTGTGGAAATGAGATCAGATCTGGCTGACAAAGGGAACCCATGTGCCAGGCAGGAAGTGGGCATTGTGGGGTTGACACGCTCAGACTCACACTACAGAAAGGCCACACAGGAGTCCCGGGGAGGAGGCACTGGAAGGGTCAGGACAAAGGCAGGGAGGCGGAGAGTCCCTTCCTTTCAGCTTCCTGGGAGCTTAGCCACCTTCAGCTGGCCTCCGAATTGATCCCCATTTCTGGCTCCAACCTAGACTGGGAGCCCATAGAGGACTGGAGTCCTTTTGTCCCTTCTCGTCCACCCCAAGCAGGGCCTGGAGTGTTGGAGGTGACCGGAGGGAAGTGAAAAGGCCTACAAGGGACAGATGTTCTGCACATCACAGATGCTCCTCTCGTGATGATGCACTGGTGCCTGGGCCGAGGGCGTGCTGCCTCAGGTACGTCCAAGCAGCTAAAACAATCTTTCACTGTCATCTCAGGTGATGTCAGAGAGGAGTAAGAACAAAGTGTCACCCAGCCCATGCTCTGTCTTTCATATCCTTGTGCCTCCTGCCCAAGCTGACATCACCTCCCTGGATGTGCTCCTCAGAACAGGGTAAGATAGGCCTCCAAATAGGAGACAGGATCTTTGCAGGCGCTGTGCCATCTGGCTTGGGTTCGAGACCCACATGGACAAGATTTGCTCTTCACAGAGGTCCAGGAAAATACATGGGAGGAGAGGCAGTCAGGGGCCTCGGAGAGGCCACAGGAGGGACAGAGTCTATCACTGTCCCTGTGTGGAGGCCAGGGCTCCAGAGACATATGGGGGTGCTGAGACCGGTCTCCCACGGAAAGGCCACTCCTCAAATCTGGCCCAGCTAGCTCCACCAAAGCCACTGGGGAGAAGGCGGTGTGAAGAGCCAGGTGCAGAGTCAAAGGATAGAGCCACAGTCCAGGAAATGCCAAGGACTGACAGCACCAACAGCCAGATTCTGCCCCAGAGCCAGCGGGTGGAGCCGGGTTTCAGACTTCTGGCCCCTGGAATTGTGAGAAGGGAGGTTCCTCTGTCTCAGAGCTCCCCAGCCTCTCCTCTCCTACAGCTGCCTCCCAGACCTTGGCCACAGCAGCTGGGCTCCACGTGGAAGTTTGCAGCTAGCCCGAGGCTTCACGGCTTCACAAGGCAAAGAACATTCTGGAAAGCTGCATGCCTTTGAAAACACCCAGGCAACACAGAGTCAGGTGTCTTCTGAAGCCCTAGGCTTCAAAGCAGTCAGGCCTCATGGTGGCCCCAGACAGGAATGAGTGACAAATGGAAATCAGTATGGAGAGTCCCCAAAAAACTAAGACTAGAAATGCAATTAGAGCCGGCCATTCCTCTCCCATGGTATCTTCCAGAAAGAATGAAAGACATCATATCACAGAGGTCCATGTGCACCCATGTTTATAGCAGCACATAAGAGATGAATCTTGGCAGCGGCCTGTATGCCCATCAGCAGAGGAATGGAGACAGAAGATGCATTTGCATGCAATGGCGTACCACTCTGCCATAGGACAAGAAGTTTGAGTCATTTACAGGCAAACGGATGCACTGAGCCAAATAGATCAGACACATAAGCTGAAAGATCACATGGTTTCTGTCATATGGGAAACACAAAGCATAAATAATTCATTTGAAAAAGCAAAAGGTAGACAAGGCTGAACAGAGGTCAGTCTTCTGTGTATTCAAAGAGGATCTAGATGGAGGTGGGGGAAAAAGAGTTAAGATATGTAAAGTAGCGAAGTACATGTACCTACTCCCTAAAGTGAGTGCAAATGTACTGCAAACACATACCAAAAAAAGGCATGGGCGGAGCGGACAGGATGGGCACGATACCGCCCTTTGTCCTTTGCCGCACTTCCCCAAGAGGCCTGTAGGTGGCGATACCGGCCTCCTCCTGCATGGGAAGACCCGCCCTGCTGATTAGCAAGTTAGCAAATCTACTGACAGGAGCCTGTAATGATACCAGTGCCCAGGCCCTGCACTAAGTTTTACCTTATAGGTACTCATCCCACATCCTATCTGGGAAGGACAGACTTGGGAAGCAGGTTCCACTGCTTTCCTGATTTTCCACACAGAGAAACTGAGGCACAGAAAGGGAAAAGACTTATTCAAGGTCACACAGCCAATTCAGGGCAGAACCAGGATTATACTTTGTGCCGGAGGTTGTACCCTTGCCAGCCATGGTGGTGCATGCCTGTCATCCCAGTACTCAGGAGGCTGAGGCGGGAGGACTTCCCTGAGTTCAAGGCCAGCCTGGGCTACAAAGTAAGTTCAAGATCTGGCTGAGCTACATAGCAAAGATCCTGCCAATAACAAAACAATCAAACAAGCAAAAGCAGAGAGACGCTCCACTCTTACTGCTCCCCATTTTCTCTACCAGGCAACATTTAGGGGGCACAGCCTGAGACCAGGGCCCACGAGACCCTGCACCAGATAAGAATGATGAGGCTTCCTCCTGCCACATGACAATCCAGACTTTTCTGGGCTTCTCTGGCAGACAGGAGCTGGCCACGAGACACTGCCTGATAGGGTGGGTCACACAAAGAACACTGCCCAGGGAGCACCTTCCTTCGTGGTGGAGGTGCCCTGCCATGAGACAGCTGTGTTGTCTAGAATGTTCCACAGCCTAGTTATGTGTCCTGGGCTACTGAGGCAGGCGAGACAACTTTGTCCCTCCCCCTAGCTCTTCAGAGCAGTGACTGAGGCCTAGTCTTGCTCTTTGCCAGACTGAGAATTCAAACTCTTCATCGGTCCTTCCAGTGTCTAATCCTTTGGAAGTTTTGCTAATCCAACTTGTGTGATTTGTTACAGCAGCCTTAGGAAGGCAAGACAGCCACCTTGCCATGACAGCCAGACAATGGGTACTGAACGGTCAAAGGAATTGTGCCCAATAAGTACTAAAATCCGCCCAAAACCCACAATAAGGACAGCCTACTAAAAGGCATCTGAAAGCACCCTGCCTCAAAAATGACCACCTACATGCCAAGGACAGAGGTCTTGGAGAAACCTACCTGCCCGTACCTTGATGACGGTCTTGCGACCTCCAGAACTATGAAGAAATTAATTTTTGTTGTTTAAGCCGCCAAGTTCATCCTACTTGGCCGCAGCAACCCAAGCCCCTGTATTCCCTCAATTACCAAGTCGCCTAGTCACTAAAGGGGACTACCAAAGAACTCAGAAACCATCCTTCCCAGATCCTCAAAGGTTCCTGGGGGCGAATTCTCATGGAGAGAGCCAGACAAACAGAGCGGGCCATCGAGGTGGTGGGTCTATGCCTACAGGTGGCTGCGGAGTTCGAATCTGGGAGCTGAGGTGGAATTGGGGCAGTCAGCGTGGAGCCTGGGGCCCACGTGGCAGCCACTAGGGATATGCCCCTTCTAGCCTCAGAGGTCTTCCGGGATGCCAACGAGGAAGTTGGCAGACTTGGGTTTGAACAAAGTTCTCCATCCAGGCAGTGGCGAGAGGGTGGTGGCACTGCAGGACTCGGCAGCATTCAGCAAAGTACAAGGGGGTATTGATGCTCCTCCGCCACAGACAAGAGAACACCATTATCTGCCTGGACACCCAGGGCTCAGAAATCAGGGCACTTCACAGCCTTGCCTGGAGTGACATCAGCGGCGCTCAGCCTGCCCCTGCCCTGTCACCCCACTGCCAGACCAGCCCCGATTGGCAAGCCCTGCTGGCCAGGCCAGCGCAAAACCATCTGACCAGCTCACGGGCCAGAAGCAGCCCTTGGTGCCCACTTGGCCTCATGGCTCCCAAAGGGGCCAGGCACACACAGCATCCCCTTGGTCCCTACTGCTGGTTCTGCCCCTATCCACCCTAGCCAAGAAGGCAACTGTGAGTCTCCTTCCTGGGTTGCTCAAACAGACAGGAGAGCCGTGAGCAAGCTCAATGGCGGCAGGCGGCGGCTCTGAAGTGCCCAGGTTGGTACTTCCTCTGGGGACATTGCCCCACCTCTGAACTCAGTCGTACGGGCGTTAAGGTGACACAGATAAACACTAAATAGACAATGAGAGCCAGGCGCCCCACCCTGGAGGCCAGGCTGTTTTGCTTCTCTCCACCCTGGGACATCCAACCAGGTGAGCCCTTACTGATTCTGGAACCCCATCCCGTCACTGAGCACATGGGGACAGTGATCCTTGGCCAGGAAGAGAGGCTGCCTTACAGAAGACCTCTGGTGACAGAAGCAGGCAGGAAGAGTGACTGATTACCTGCTAGAGCCAGGAGTGGACCGTGCTGGCGCAGGTGGCTCCCAGCTGCTCTCCGAAGGCCTGTCCTCCTCAACCACCTCAACCCTGTGGGCAGAGGAGAAACTGAGGCCAGGGTCTTCATGGCCGCGTTGGAGCGTGCTGGTCATCTGACACTCATGTCTCTAGGGGTAGCCAACTGAGGTGACTGAGAGGTGGCCCAGCCACTCCCATTCAAGATTCAGATAGTGTACTGGGCTGAATGTGTCCTTCCCAAATTCGTGGTCCCCTGGAACCTGTGACTCTGACCTTATTGGAAATAGGCTCTTTGGAGATGTAATCAAGGTAAGCTGAGGTCACAGTGGATTAGGGTGGCTCCTACATCCAGGACGACACGCTATGAGGAGGGAAATCTGAACACAGACACAGAAAAGGTCATACAGAAACAGAGGCACAGACAGGAGCGATGCACAAAAGCCAAGGCACACCAAGAACGGCCAGCAGCCACCAGACGCTGGGAGAGGGGCCTGGACTGTCTGCGCCCTCCGCGCCTCCAGAGGGAAGCGGCCCTGCCAGGACTGTGATCTCATAAATCTGGTCCGCAAAGCTGGGAGATAAGCAATTTTTGGTTCCAAGCCACCCAGCATGTGGGGCTTTGTTACAGCAGCTGCAGGAACCCAATACAGTTGGTAAGAACACACCATTCCCTGCCACTTCCCATCTCCGTCCTCTGGCCTCGGTGCCCCCGGGCCCTCTGCCTGCAACACTTGACACACTCACTTTTCCTTGGTTTCCAGTTCTCAGTTTGCAATGACACCTTATTTTGAAGGTTTTCCTTGTCCATTCAACTAAAGGTCCACCAAATCCAACTTTCCAGAAGTTTCTTCTTCACTCTCCCTCCAATATTTTGCTCTCCTAGAAGGTGCCCTGTGGCAACTAAGGACAGCGTCCTGACAGGGTGTTCACCCTGCGTTTAACCCTGTTAACCCTTCAAGACTTATCTCCAGCGTCACAGTCACCTCCCAGGGCATGTCTCTTGGTGGCCCTGGTCCTGGTCCTGGGTCAGGCTCCAGCCCTGCCGGGTGGCAAGCAGAAGAGCTCCCCAACAAGCTGCACCCAATTGGCTACTGGGACTGCGTGAGCCAAGACAGTCCCCCCAGGGTGCTCATGTGTCCCCCAGACAGAAGCTTGAGTGGCCTCTCCCAACTTTGCCTGGTCAGGGATAGCAGTCACCCACCCTTATCTCCCCTGTCCCCACACCCTGGTGACAGAGGCCAGCAGCAGGCTCCAAGGCTTCCCTTGACACAACTTACCTCTTGGCAATAAATTGAGCCTGTGTCTCCTGGGTAGGACTAGAGGAAAGGAAAAAGAAAGGTGACCTCTAAGTCGCAGTCCCCCCAGGGTCCCGGCTCTTTCTCCTATTGCCGGCACCTTGCCTGCCCTGAAGCCCACAGCCCTCCCTCCTCTCATAGAAAGTGCATTTCAGGGCCTGAGAAGGTGCAGCCAGGAATCTCAGTTTAGGTAGTTATCACCCACCCATCTACCCAGTGAAGATGCCTGGCGCCCAGGAGAGAGCAGAGTGGCCCAGAGCACGGGGCCAGCCACAGTCCGCTGAGCTGGGTTCGGGCCAGGCCTCCCACCCTGCCCTGAAGCACACTCACCCAGAGCTCTTCCGGGCCGCCGACAGCACGTAGGAGTGCTCCCGGGGCACAGTGGTCTTCCTCAACACACTGCTCGCGGCCTCCGATCTAGGACAGCACAGAGTGGGGATGACTTGGGACCACCCCCGGAGAGTGAGGGAGCCACACCCAGGGAGCTCCTGAGCACCATCCAGGCTTGGGACCTGTGCCACCACGGACACTTCCATTAGCATTGCCCTTCGGCATGGGCCGCTGTGTTCTTGAGCCACAGGTGGCTTGGCAGACACTGGCACACAGCTGGGCCTCAGCAGGCAGGTGAGGGGCATTCAAAGGCCCGGAGTCCAGCACACACAGCCTACAAGCACTCTACCAGCACTGCGCACAGGCACACAGCACACACCACACACAGGCCACCGTGCAGGTGGCCGCTCAGGGCACCTGACACTGCTGCTTTTGTTCAACTTTCCCAGGACTCTGCAGTAAACTGACAGAAAGTCCCTCAGAACCTATGAATCCAGCTTTTCCCTGGCACCCCATGAAAGGGTTTCAGAGGGCGCCCCAAACTGGGCGGCCTGGAGACCAATGGGACAGCACCTGTTCCCTCTGTCCATGGGCCACTGTTAACAGCCAGTGTGTCTTACACTTTGTCACCTGAATGGTACAATGGCCATCAGCGTTCTGCTGAAAGATTCAGGCCTCTGCCACCCACGGGGATGCCCACGGCAGGCACTGTCACCTCCTTTTCTGCTCATCTGAAGAGAAGGGCACCTCCAACTCCTCCATGGTTCCTGATATGGAGCTGCGTCTCACGTTGTAGGGCGCCCTGAGGTTAGGGAGAGGTGGCTGTGACTCTTCAACCTGTCACAAGCTGCAACCCTCAGCCACTTGGCCCACTGATATCCAGTACCACTCGCGCACACTGGAATCGCTGCCTTCGGTCCTGAGTTGCTGCCACTTCCCTCTCTGTGACAGCCACTCCTCTCTCCTGTTCCTGTCCTAGCCATCCCTCAGGACCCAGTTCAAGTCTCACCAGTCCCCTAGAAAGACTTGCCAGCTGCTCCATGGCACTGGATAACAGGGACAAGGCACAATAATACCAAGAGGTGCAGCCCATAGACACAGCCAGCGCAAACCCACAGCTCTGTCTGGAGTCCCTTTCCTTGGTCAAACAGGATGGGGCCACTGAAAGGGACCTCAGAGGCAGATCCAGGGGGAACCTGAAGATTTATACCCATGAAATGGTTCAGATTTAGGCGTGAAATGCCCAGGCCAATAGCCTGTCAGTGTCAGCAGGACCTCGGCCCAGCTTTTGCCCCTCTGGTGGGTACCAGGCCACAGCTGCCCTGGCAGGCCACTCATAAGAGCTGCGCTCCCCAGACTGTGCTCAGAGGCAAGTGGCCAGCTGCCCTCAGCAGGCCCAGTGTCAGAGGAGAGGCTGAGTTGGGTCAGAAACACATACTCACAGCTTCTTGTAATCCTCCGTGGTCATCTTGTAGCCAGAGATGGAGGAGCGGGGCGGACCTGTGTTAGCTGCTTTCATCAGACCAGCAGCACTGGAAAGGCAAGAAGTGTCCATGTGTCCACCTACTGCCCCTCTCGCCCCCACACTTGTCCATGTGCCCCACTAGGGATGTGACAGTTGGCCCGGGGCGCTGGGAGATTTTGCGGTTTGCATTCAGCGTTGCCAGGGTCCTGATCGGCACAGTCCCATGCCTGCATGCACAGACGGGCAGCCCGGGCTGAGCCCCAGGGAAAAGCCTGCCAGGCACTTGCCTGGGTCTGCTTTCTATCCCCCAACCCCTGTGACCTTTCCTTTCTGATGAAGCCCCAGTTGCGCGGATGCCAAGGCGCTCAGACAGATCTATGCTGTTGGCAGGGTGCCAGCTGCGCGGTCTGGACCAAGACCTCCCGGTTTCTTCCCCATGCCTCTGTCCCACTGACCGGAGCCAGTCAGAGCAGTTCCCCAACCCAGGCAAGCCAGATCCCCTCTCCATCACAACCCTGGGCCTGACTCTGTGACCTTCCCATGAGTCACCCATGATAGTACCTTTTTGGGGCGCCATTGGTCTTGGGAAAGTGCTGCTGAGGCTGGGACGAGCTGTCTATAGGCTTGGTGAACACCCCCCTAGGAGAGAGCCCAGGAGACGCTGAGAAGTCAGGGTGCAGCCCAGCTGGCACGGGAAGGCAGGCGAGCTCCCACGGTCACTTACCGGATGATGTAACCAGTGGATGCCCTGGCACTTGGAGACCTGCGGAGGGGAAAGGGTATGCAAAGTGAAGCCAGGTCTCGCTGGAGGCTCGGGCCACCCTGCTTCATCTTGCCCCTAACTACGACCAAAGCAGCTAGCTGCTGGGGGTTCCATGACAGCAGAAACAGGGCGTCAGCGGCCCGCTCGTCCGGAGCCCGGCTGCCAGCCCTTCTCTACCTGCTTCCCTTCTCCCCTGGGGAGAGCACCTGCAGCCAACTTCGCTCTGGCGAGGCCCAGCATGGCCCTGACTCCAAGCAGGTCGCACACCTGCAGAGGGGTCCCCTTCCAAGTCCAGCTTCTCCCTGCCCTGGCATTTCCAAGGCGGAGCTCTTCTCAACTCTGAGCGCTGACAGCCTGCTGGCTTCGGCTCCCACAGCCAACCTGCTTCAGGCCAGAGGTTCCCTGACGGGGGCCCCAGGCTTCTTCCCTACGCAGCCGCAGTGTCCTTCCAACGCCTCAGGATGGCCTTTCCGAATGCACTGTGGTGGACAGACAACTACGGGGCAGTAATGCCCAGCTGAACTGAATCAGTGTGGCACTGGTGTGGACAGCCCACCTGAGGGTCACTGCCAACAGCATAAAAAGAGAACTGGGGGCCAAGATGGTGCTGTTGGTTCTTCTGCTGGTGTGGGCTTTGCTGCTGCCAGTGGCTTTCCTGGGAGAGCTTATCGAGCTTCTGTCCTGATGTGAACTTAGCTGTTTTTGTCAGCTCAGGACCTTGTCACTGAGAATGGCTGCGGTTCACTTTGGGGGAGCTCTGGCCCTTACTTTACGGCTTCCTGGCTCCAGAGGGGAAGAGAGCAGGCCGTTGCCTCCTGGAGGAGCTTGTCACCCTGGCTTCCTGACGTGAACTCAGCTGTTACGCTTGGAAGAGTTTGGGACCTCATTGTCACTGAGGATGGCTGTGGGACTTTTCAGGGCAGCTCTGGTGCTTACTTTGAGCATCATTTCCTGGCTCCAGTGCAGAACCCTCAGCCTGTTGGCACAGATCCTTCATCCTGCTGCCACAGACTTTCTGGCTTCCACTGCTGACCTTTGGGCTTTCCCAGCACAGATCCGTGAAACACACTTGCATGAGACATTGCCATGGGTTCTAGGGTCCCAGTTGGACCCATTGGGAACATTGCCATGGGCTCCAGCTCTCCAGCTGGACTCATGCAGGATGTTGCCATGGGATCTGGGCCCTCAGCTGGATGTTTTAAGGGTCTTCAGTGTGGACAGATTTTCTGCACTTTTTGTGTTTTACTCTTTGGGTAACTACTACAAAATAGTGCTATAAATTATATGTCCTCTATTAAATCATTTTCCTTGCAAACCCTGCCTACAGCAGCACCCCAAACCAAAGCCCCAGCTGCGAATTGCATCCCCCAAAGTCAACCAGCTCTGTGAAGAATATACTGTCCCTAAATGAGATGGCCCCTGAATTCTTGCCAGCCTTAGCCATAGCACCCGTCCCAATTCGCAAGCCTCTATTTTGTCTTTGTCTCTTTACATGAGTGGTGCCTGTGTCCGTCAAAGGGATGTCAGTTCCCTGAAGAGAGAGAGCCTGGGTCTTCACCACAGGACATGGCAGTTTGTAGGCATGACAGGCAAGACCATGGTGACTGGAGGCCACCTGGTGGGTCAGGGGCTGTCATGACCTCTACCACCACCCCAGGAGCCCCCACAGTGGACTTGCCACCAATTGTCAGTAGCTGTGGCAAAGAGCAAGCTGGTACCTCAGAGGCTCCCTGGACATTTTATGGAAATGTCTTCAAAACAGAGATTCGCGCATTGTGGACTAGGCCACAACTGGAGCCAGCGTGCAAGAACCCATCTGTCTCCTGGGTAATACCCGCCTCTCCCTGCCACAGGGACTGTCCTACGCTGCAGCAAAGTAACGAGGCCTGCCTGCAGGCCACCAGGGCACCAGAGCTTCTTACCTGGCCTTTGACATCTCTCCAGGTGACGAAAAGGAAGTTGCACGACTCCGGCCTGAGGGCAGCTCTCTGGGGAAAACACCGGTCCTGAAAGAATAGCTCCCGGATCTCCACCCGCTGCACCCCACAGTTTCCATCCGGGAAGCTGCCTGCCAAGGGACTCACTCCATGGGCTCCTCACCTTCTTCCCCACTCACCTCTGCAGCTGTGCGTGGGCACGCACACCCTGGCACCTGGGGGTGTCTCCCGCTGGGACTTTGTTCAGGGCTTGCCCTTAGCCAGCTTGCCTTTCCTGTGCTCCCCGGCTAGCCTGTGGCCACCTGGCCTGGCTGAGCTCCCCTCTGCTTCCTGGGTACCCCTGAGCCCCACAGATCATGATGTCAGCCCTCGACACTGCTGCCACCCCAGGCCTCCGGACTTACACAGTGCAGGCCTCAGACTCATCCTGCTTGGTGATCCAGCTCTTGTCGCCCTTCAGTGTGGTTCGTACTTTCATCTGCTTGAGGACATTATTGCGCTCCTCCTCTCCCGGTGGCAGAGACCTCCCTGGAAGGGGCAAGGCCGAAGAGACTCAAAAGAGGACCTCCTCTGCAGCTCCCCAACATGCTGCTGCTGCGCTGCCGCCTCGCAAGCTCTCGTGGCCTCCAGGGCACACGTGGCAGGGCGCAGGCCTCACCTTTGGGGCTGCCCCCCAGAGTGGAGATACTCATGGTGTTTCTCCGCCAGTCCCTTCTCAGTCGATCCAGTGGGGCTCCTGGGGGCACAGGAAGGCACAGAAGGCTTGTGAGTCACTGTTGTGCTGTAGCTGGGGTCTCAAAGGCAGAGCTTAATGAACAATAATTAGGTCACAGGAACGCTGGTCTAGGAAGGAATTCACGGGACCCTGGCTCACTTGTGGGAGTGGGTTCTTATCAAAGAGTGAGCCTGGCCCTGCCCTGTCTACATGCTTTCCTGCTATCAACCAAGAGGCCCTCACCAGAGCCACATGGATGCCAGTCCTATACCTCCGAACCTCCAGAACAGGAAGCTAAGTCAATATCTTTTCTCTGTAAAATACTCGTCCTCCGGCATTAGGTCCTATAGGACTATAGAGACATAAAACAGACTAATTTGATCACTGTGTGGTCCCCAGCACACAAAGGTCATTCAGTCTTTCTTTCGGGCATTGGAGGTAGACTCCCAAATGGAGGATGGAAGCCACGGTGCAAGCACTTGCTGGACCTGCCACTGCCAGGGGACACATCCACCCATCTGCCCAGGGCTGCTTGCAGGCTGCCAGGGACCATCTGCTCAAGTGGGTCACTAGTGAGGGCAGGCTCTGAACGTCCCAGGGAGTGCGAGCAGCTGGGTTCCGAGCCGCCACACTGTCACACAGGTTTGGGAGGTATTGGGCCAGTACCCTTGGATTCAGAGGGTGGGGTCAGAGTGCATCACAAGCAGAACACCTTCATGGGTGTCAGGTGGCCCAGGAGGAAGCCACGTGCTTGGGGAAGCAAGTTCTTTGGGGTTGGACTATCTTTTGCGTTCCTCAGAAGCTCTTGGAAGGACCTTGGCAGGTCAGCTAACCTCTCTGGGATGCCTCATTTTGCTCATTTGTAGAATAAGCTTTTAATTTTGGAGTAATTTTAAGGTTGCTGTGAAAACAGGTAGGCCCTTTGGGTAGCTGGAGAGGAGCTAAGCAGCTGCGACTCTTAACTTGGCTTTGCTGGAAGGGAGATGGCCAGCGGTCCTCAACAAGTACGAGGATGTTTCTCCTTCCTTGTCCCCTCCACAGCCTGTGGGTGGGGCCATCGGGGCCAGCCTGGAGTCTTCTCTGGGGCCTTTATGGTGCTCTGAGGGCTGAGTGAGGAGATCAACTTTCTGGGCTGGGAGCGCCCCAGAGCCACAGGGAAACAAAGGGTCCAGGCTGCAGATCTGGTAGCTGCCTTGAGTGGCCACAGCTTAGCTCAGGCCTCCAGGGAGGGGTTGGAGGCTCTGGTGGGTGGGCACATCAGGAAGCAGGCCCCCTGTGCCGGCACAGCCCTGCTGCAGGGCAGCCTTCCTGGCCAGAGTCTGCCACCCTCTGGGTCCCTCCAGGCCACAGCTCTGAGCAGCTTGGTACTATGCCACTTGGCAGGGCCTGGATGTACTTCTGTGGAAATCAGGAGCACTCTAAAGGGAGCCAGACCAAACCAAACTCACCACGTCAGCAAGAGTTGACGCTCCTATAAACTGCCCCGAAAGAGCGGCCCAGGCAGCCCAAGCCTGCTGCTGTGTGCCAGGAACTGCACTTCATCACAGCAGATGGGAGCGCCCCCCGCCCAGCAGAGCCCTGGCCCAACTGCCCCATCCCATAGGCCCCATCCCATAGGCAATCGGAGCCTGTGGGCGGGCCCCGAAGCCTGGTCTCCTGTTGCTTCTGACTTCCAGGCCTTTCGGAATCCCTCACCTTCTCCAGGCCTCAGCCCCTGGCTCTGGACTGGGCTTTTAGGTTCCTTCCCACTGTGCTGGGCACCTCAAAGCCACACCTTGCCAGAAGCTTCCTGCGAGCGTGCACTACAAGGAGCCCACTTCTCGAACCAGGACACACTCGCACATGCGTAGAACATACACACTTGAACAGAGTGGCTACTGCCAGCTCCTGGGCCCAAGGGACAAGGACACATGACAGAGAAGGACCAGGGTTGGTGTTTCGCATTGGCGCCTTTCCTTTAGGACTGGCTATGACCAGAAGTCAAATTTCTTTTCTCGATGGGACAGTATCTGAAGGGTCAGTAAGGTCACTGCCACTGTAGACCAAATAGTAGTGTAGCTCTTTGGGACAGGAAGCATTTAATGTGACAAGCCTCTATCAGGTGGACTGACAAATGGCTCTTGTATCTCTGTTCCAGCCTGAGCGCTGGCTTCCCCCTCCGCTTCCCACCCCTCCCCCTCCAGGCTTGGGTCAGGCCAGTGCTCCTCCCTGGCTGTGCTCCTCCCTGGTCCTCCTGTCTCCGTCTGCACAGCCTCCCTCCCACAACCTTCCCTGGCCCCTAATGTCACTTGGTCCCATCAGCTCTCTCTGCATTCACCTCCTGATGGGGTTTAACTGTTTCTAAGACTGGGGGCAAACTCCTCAGGCAAGGGAAAGGTACAGAGGCCCAGGGGACCTGGGCAGCAGGATAGCTGGCACTGACAAGCATGGCTAGTGAATCCTTACAGACCCACAGCAGTGTCACGGGACCTGCCTGCCCAGCGCTTTTAAGGCAATAGTTAGCAGAAGGGAATTCAAGCAGCCTCAGGAGAAGCGCCAGGGTCTGCTTCCCAGCCTCGCCAGCCTCCCTGGGGTGCACTCCATTCTGAGCTGCACTACCAGAAGATTCCTCCTTTGGCGAGGCCCCCAGCACACACCCCCAGAGTGAGCACCCCCTGTGCATGCAGCCCAGGGCTTGCTCCGGAAGGCAGGCAGCGCATCAGCAGCCTGTAGGTGCTCAGCACACCTCCACCCTCACTCCACTGGCCCGGGGCCTCTCTCCCAGGGATCTAAGTTCTGGCCTGCACTGGTACCTGCTAACCCCACGCGCACTGGATGCCCAACAAAATGCTCCCTGGGGCAAAGGGACAGGATTCAAATGGCCCAGGCACACCTGCTGCCAGTCCCCTGGCCCTTGGCCTCTGAGGTGAACCTCCTTACTGAGGACAGGGTTCTTCAGACTGGGACCAGCCTGAGCGGTCCAGCCGCCGAGGGAGGCCTCCACACACATGAGCTAGAACCCCACAGGAGGGAGTGGTCCCTGGTCATCCACAGCCCTGCACCATCCCCCGCCAAGTCCAACACACCAGCTCTCTGCTCATGCCTTGTGCTAGAGTCAGAGAGGAGAAACAGAGAGAAACTTCTGAGACTGAAATCCCGCTCACTCGGACAAGGTGAAGAGCCCATGTTCCGTCCGCAGCACCTACCTGCCCTTGCACTCTTCCTCCTCTCTGAACCTGGGCCACCCCCACCCATCAACCGTCATATCTCGAGAGGTTGCCCCATCTGAGAGCTGTGACTTCTGCTCACATATATCTCTGCTTCTCCTCCCTAAGTGCCTGGACCTCCTCACCTGTACAGTGGTACAAACCACCAAACCTCTAGAACCACTAACTGGCTCTCCTCTTGGCAGAGTACTCTCCCAAGTAATACATGTGCCACTTTTCTGGAATTTTCCACCTCATGGCACAGGTTGGCTGTCTTCATCTCCCAAATGGCCCACATGAGAACATTTTTAGTCACATCACCCATTCTGTTGACCTTTCCAGTACCACAGGCCCCATTTCTATCTTGACTGAAAAAAAACCCTTCTGATTCTTTGATATTTGTTGTATCATTCTGCTTAGAACTTGGCCTGGGCCGCCAAAGGAATGACTGGCTTATGTGACACCTTCCACAACAACTTTCCCTCACGGCACACCATGGAGCCCCCGCAGATTTGACCTTCCTACGGAGTGCCAACTCAGAGCAAAACCATACACTGCAGAGGTGACTTGGAGCAGACAGGCTGTGAGGAAAGTAGCCAGGTAAACTGTCCCTGACAGGGCTGGATGGAGGGAATGGGGACAACCCTGTCTGAGTTCAGATGGCCTCTGAATGCCAATGAGTACGTTTCCTCTCCACTTTCCTCCCTACTACTGTGGCTTCTTCTTTTTTTTTTTTTTTTTTTTTTGTACCAGGAATCCAACTCAGGAGCCTGCCAGGCAGTTGCTGTTTGCTGCTGAGCTAAATCCTATGGCCCTATTGTGGCTTCTGAAAAGTCTGCCCAGCAACCTCCTTGGGAAGAAGCCCTCACCCTGATTGGCTGCACAGAAATGGGGATCCAGTGAGAGGGCAGTAAGGAGCCTGACTTCCTGGCTATACTAAGTCTAGTGTCCTCAGCAGCTGACGGAGGGAAAGCTGATGCACACAGATTGCCACATGCTAGGCAGAGCTGGGGGAGTCAAAAGCCAGTGACACGGCACTTGGCTGGTGGGTGAGGAGACAGAGAAGGAGACAAACAGCAAGAGAGGGCACCCTGCCACCTTTAAAGTAACCCACAGGAAGTTTCATAGCCCCCCCCCCCACACACACACACTCAGATCATTGCTCCCTTGCTCAGAGACACAGCTCAGTGGCATTCCTGGTCATGCTGCACTAAACATGGAAGGAAGCGGAAGCCACGGCACTAGAGGAAGGAGCGCTGGGGGAGTGAGGTCAAGGGGGCTGACCGAGGGGCCAACCTCCTGCTGACCATGCCCAGGCCTCCAATTCAAGGCTGGGCAGCACCTCGAGTGACAAGCATGGAAGGACATCTGGCCTTGTGGCTCTCTAGGGCCCCGAGTTCCAATCTGGTTCTGCCACTGCCCATGGCCAGCCCGTTCCAGGGGAAAGAACCTTCCTTTTCCCTTTCCTAGATTTTCTCTGCCCACCACACTGAGATGGGCTGGCCTACTGCCAAAGACAGGGTGAGGGAGACAGAAAAGCCAGCAGGCCGAGCCTGGCTAACCCACAGCCCATCCTCAGATGGGATGGGCCCACTCAGGCCCCAGGGCCCTGGACCCTGGCACTGGCTGTCTGTGCTAAATGCTTAGGCTAGCGGAGAAAGCAGGGTGAGTGATGGGCAGGCAGGGGAACGAGATGGCTCCTATACTTCGCAGAGAGGGGTGCCGACTCCAGGCAGGGACCTCCTGCTACAGAGGGAGAGAGGAGGAGCAGAGGTGCAGGGAAAGGCTTTCCACAGATGACTCGTACTGCTTCGCAGCCAGGAGCTACACAGAAGC